TATTCACTCACTTCTGAAATAATTCGATAAAAATCAAACAATGAATTCCGCTGAAATAGTGGAACTTCTGCCTTTGTCGCTTTTGTTTTGAATGGCTTCACTTAGTAATTGAATGAAATCTCTTCGAGGTTTCTGATTCCATTTTCATTAGTTTTAACAATTTCAGATTATCTTTTTAATTTTGTATTAAATTATTTTTAAAAGAAAAAGGAAAATTCGATCGGAGATTTTATTTGAAATTGCGCGTGTTAAAATGAAGTTTTTTTCATTTCTGATTTCTTAAGTTCGATATAAAAGCGAAAGAAATTCTTTTCGAAGTGCTTTCTTTCTGCCATTCAGTCGTTTTTGATGTTTTATAAGGGTTCACTTTTAAAACAATTTTAACTGTTTTTAGTATGGCAATCGATAAAAAACGAACTGCTCATTTTTCATGTTTCCGTTTTTTTTGGCGCACTTTTGGTAGAATTTCGCTAATATTTATTTATTATGCTTATTGCTGTTTTATCATTGTTAACAGCTCTCACCATTACTGGTTAGATTAGCTCCAAGGACTACAAGGGAGTATGACTCTTCCGAGCGGTGCAGTCATGCTGTTGACTGCAGACTGATGCCATCGTCGCCAGTAATAGAAGCCATTCCTTTTTCCATCGTCTATTCTTGTCAACTCATGCCGTGGATGACGGAGAATGTGCCCTAACCAGCGAAGATGGTGATCTGTGATAGCATTAATGGAAGTGGTCTTTGAACTAAGATGGATGCAATCATGTGATATTTTATCGCTCGACGGAACCGTAAAATATACTTTAGATAAAAATGCTCAAAGGCCACTTCTTAATATCCACTCTCGTTGGTCATGTCTCACAGCCATATAGCAAGGTCGAACGAATCACGGCTATACAGATTCGAACTTTCTTTTTATGGTGATTTCACAAGGCAATCAATTTGTGAAAAGAGGCATTTTATCGTATGATGCTCTGGGCTGATTTGGACATCTCTTAATTGCCAACAAACAATGTCCATTATCCAGTCTATTGCATAGTTGAATATTGTAGAGAAAAGGAATACAACCTTCACTGACACCAGTTTTTATTTCCAAGGAGTCGTCAGTTCCCATCTATACAGACCTACGCTTATAAAATGCCTTTATGAATCGAATGATTTCCTTTCACCGTCGCGTTCCATTGACCTCCAAAGTACCGCTTTGTCAATTGAATTGAAAGTCAGTGAAACCCGTGACGGTGGGTGCAAATATCTGAAGCGATATTCCAACATCCTTCTTAATATTTTTTCGACTAATAAATTTTTTTTCTATGATTTAATTCAGTTTTACTAATATGTTTCTTCTTAACGTGAATATCTGGTCAGCAAAACCATGCCCTGACTTGAATACAGCTTGATTTGGGCGCATCCTATTGTCCCGTACTTCCATAAGTCTACTGAGTAAAAGGGAAGCAAAAATTTTCTATGAGATGTCTAATAAGCTGATTCCTCGATAATTGTCTCAGTATGTCCAATCATCTTTCTCGAGAATTAGGAGCAGAATTGATTTGCTCCAATCATCCGGTAATATTTCTTTTTTCCATACTAGAGAGTTGAAGGTGTGTTATGAAAAACGATGGACAATATTTAAAGAGTTCAGCAAACTGTCCTGAAGACCATCTTTTCCCGGAACCTTATTGGCCTTAAGTTTATAGGTAACAGATATTATTCTTCTTCTGTCAGGAGCTCAAAGTTGCCGGCATATGGTTCAGCGAGCGTATCAGTTTTATCAGGGCCAACAGATAGCGCTTCACGGTTAAGTTTGGCTTCAAAGGATTATTTCTATCTTATGAGGTGGTCCTTAATACTCTTGACTGGCATGCCATTGCTGTGCCTTACCATTTCATTGATCGTTCCCCGAGTCATAGTTTCTTTATGAAAAAGGGGGAATAGTTTCCTATTATCGCCTAATCGAGCCGCCGTCTCTATTTTTGGCCATGTTACTCCAATGATGATTTCTATTTCTCCTTGCTTTCGTTGCAAATCTTCGAAGCATCCGGTAGTTAGAATCACTTGACATTCGTGCGTTAGCAGCTTTTTCAAACAGTTGGACAGTTGTTTCCGATACCCCTCTGGTGCACTCTTCCTGTGCCCTACCGTGGAAGTGGCTGACTTTCAGAGACATTCCTTTAGTTTGGATCAATATTCACTTACCGTTATTTACCGTTTATATTTACCGTTCCATAAAAATCATTGATATTGAGATGCTTCAATAATTCGGTTTGAAATGCGCTCACTGTCCCCAAATTTTTTAATTTGAGATAGTTGAAAGATCTTGAGGGATGCTATTTTCTGCGAGTTTTTAATTTTATGCGGAGTTTTTAATTTTGGCTCGAAGCATAACCTGGTCAGAATCATGAAATGCCCGTTTCATCACCTCGATAGGAACAGGGATTGACAAGATATAATCAGTCTGGTTGAAGTGTTGGCTATCCGGGGATTTCCACATGATTAGATATTTTCTACGATGCCAGAAGGAAGTATTAGTAACAAAAAGTTTAAACTCTTAGGCATAACGAAAAAGGCGTATGACCACCGGTCACCGAAACCATATTTGCCAATTGTCGAGGTCATCATAGCGTGATTATGATATGCGCGCGTATTTCATTTTCCCCGATTATGACCATGTTTCAGTAGAGACTTTATTAGCAATTGAAGGTCCGCACAGACATTGCCTTTATCCCGGTTATCTGCCGACAAAGTTGGAGCTGACACTCTATAGACTCTGATGACCGAGATATTGCAGAACTTACCTTTAAAACGGGCATAGGGCATGCGGTCTTCACTCAGTCAAAACGGAATGGGCCTTGTCAGACAATCAGACTTCAATCAAGCTTGACAATCACTGCGCCATTTCGTCCCGAGTTATCCGAAGCACCACAGTGATATAGCCTTTGCTCCGAGCCAAAATTAGTAATTATTCGAGACCCGAAATGATGAAAGCGGACTTCCAACAAGCTGGCACATATTTAGATATTTAGAAAGGGTATTGATAGTAATCGCTTGACTTGCATCGTCCATAAGCGTTCTGACGTTCCACGCTAATACAACACCTCGCCGTGCTTACAGAGAGTTGCCTTAATAGGTTTCAGTTAATTATTCTGGCTTGTGAGCACATTTTATTTATCAACCTTGGGATCGCTTTATGCCCGGATTGTATACTTATCGCATGTACCACCGGGAGTATCATGTACCGGGAGCTCGTCGGAAAACATGGATGCCTTATCAAGAATATCTGACCTTTCACCATAGAGTCACTAGTTTTATATTTTATATATTCATTTTATCGTTACTAGTTTTGTACTTTCATTTTTCTATAAAAAAAATTTTCAGGTAGCAATGGAATTAATTCGTATGTTAGCGCCGTCGCAATTCAATTATGAAATTGCTCGTAAAGAGATGACTCGACTTATATATCCATCAATATATACATCAATCGTTTATTTCATTAGTATATTTACTATTCAATTTATTATGAAATCCTACCGGCCGTTTAAAGTAATTTTTTTTCATTTCTGAAGTCCAAAAATTGTGAAATTCTCTAAAATAATCAAAAAACGAATCGCACAAGGTATGAATGTATTATTGTTGGGAGAATTTAACATGCCAAATATAAACTAGCAAAGCAGTAATAAATGTAAGTAATTATGAGGGATATTTTTGTTTATACATTGGTTCAGATTAACGTTTAATGTATTAGATATATCGATTAGATATATTGAGATCTTTTCTTCATTAATTGACATTAGAACCGTACTAATAGTGATGTGATTACAACATCATTGACGTGATATTAAAATTAGCACAGGTCGATCGACTTCCAAAATATATTTGAAATAATATATTTGCCACTTTAATATGATTCTTAGAAATTTTGCTTATCCTATCTTTAACAATACCATATTGAACCTTGTAGAATAATGCAAAAACTTTTATAAAATGATTATATCCTTAAAATCTCTTTAAAAATTATTTTGAAAAGGTATTTAACAGACCAAAATTATTTAAAGGATAAATTATATTTATCTTTTCTGCTTGTAGAGATAAATTATATTTATCTTTTTGCTTGTAGAGAACAAATTTTTAAAAATTGTTTTTTAAAAAAGAATTTGAGATATTAAATTCTGTAAGATATTTCACCAAGATTATCTTTAAAAGAAATTCTAGTCTTGAAAAAGCCAAGCAAAGTACTACTATGGTTCTTAGTTAATTAATGTTTTTTCGATAAAGCTAATAGAGTAAAGAGCAGATAAAGATAATAGAATATGCTAGTAGATGCTTTAAGGAAACTTTCGGTTATAACCATAATTCTCTTGATAATATCAACACTACATTATTAGACATTTATATTAAATCAATGAAAATAAATAAATCCATATCTGTTGGAACTTTTTAGATTCCACCAATAGAAATTTTTGAAAAATACTCGATTCTTCTGGAATTAACCCTGTTTATGTGCAGATTTTTTGTGCAAAAGGATATTATTAAATATGATCTTTATGTACTAAAATTTGGACATTAAATTGCGTAACAATCCCGATTTAATAAAAAAGTGATATTTACAATCCATCAAATAATAGATATTTGTCGTCGTAAATAAAATTGAATATTATTTCCAAAATTATGTGACATAGGATGTTAAATGCAGCTTTTTAAGGGATTTCATTAAAATTTTTGGTTTTTTTGTTCTATAATTGCATATTGTATTGCATTGCACACGATTATTATCCTGGTTGGTAAAATTTTGAATAAATTTTTATTTAAAATATTTGAGTAATTCCGGAAAAGGAAAAAAGTGTGATAAAATAATTGTATTGTAAATGATTATATCTTTATTGTAAAAATGAAAATTTTTTATAATTTCTTTATATTTTACAATTTATAACCGGAATTTATCATCGAATTTCTTTCATATTTTTTTTTTCTCAAATTGATTTACTAAAAACTAAAAATTATTTCAGTTAACATTCGCTTTAAATTTATGGAATCTTTGGTTAGCAGTATTTAGTGTGGTTGGTTCATACTTTACTGGTGTTGAGCTATATAATGATATTGTTCATAAAGGATTAGTCGGTAAGTTTTTTTAAACGATCAACTGCAGGAAATTTTAACTAGAAATTTTAACAAATTCAGGCGCAATGCATTACATACTTTTCCAAAGCCTTTAACCTTTATATTATTTTCTTTTTAATAGATTTTTTTGCCTTGGATTGATAAATTTTTCAAAGTTTTTGTTGTCTTTCATTTTATTTATATCAGAGATAAAATTTTATTTGTATAGAATATATTTAAAAAAGCGAAGAAAATGCATAGGGAATTTATTGGCACCAAAGAAAAGTAATGAAAGGAAAATCATTCGCTGATTGAAAATATTTCAGCATCATATACAAAAATTGGTGGCGTATTTTCTGGGAGAAGTGGTTATCTCACATTTTTGTTTTGTCTATCAAAATTTTTGGAATTAGGTGACACGTATTTTATAGTATTACGAAAGAGACCATTAATATTTTTGCACTGGTTTCATCATATATTAACATTAATATATGGTGTACTTTCATGGAGTGAATTGACGCCTTATAACAGTTGGATTATTTGGCTCAATTTTACCGTTCATAGTTTTATGTATAGGTTTGTCTATTGTTTACACCATTATTATTAATAAATAAAATAAAGGTGGTTACCATTCACCATTTTTGGTCAATATAGGTCCGCTGGCTAAGCGCGGTTAGAAATTTTGCATTAGCATCGCTTGCCGGTGAAAATCCAGATGGATCGCTTCGGATTTCGAACGATACGGATTTTTGTCTGGAACTATTTTTAGCAGTGGTCGAATTCTTATCTTTTTTTTGTGGTATTTTGTACCCACTATTTATCCGTCTAGATTCATTAGTTGTAATTTATTAATCATTTCCGTTTAAAATGGCAATATTTTAATAAAAACATGTGCGATTTTTTCATAGGTTTTGAGGAATATTAAAAGGATCTAATATGGCGGATCGGGGTTCCCCAGGCAGTGGTGAGTTTTCAAACGATACGAAATGGTTTAACATTTGTTGGGTCTAATAAGATTTGATTCAAGGTGGCATTTTATTTCATGCAGTGATTTGAAAGAGCATTAAAGAGAAGTTGAGGAAAAAGGATTATAATAGTTTATGACATATTTGTTCAAGTTTTACAAAAATTTATAACGAGGTTGAAGTTTTAGAAAGCTTCACAGGGTCCCTAGAATCTTTTGAGAAGATTTCAAAATAGTTGGGATACATGATTATCGGATAAGATGGTGTTGCTAACTAGAGGAACTGAATGGAGTTTCGATGAAATTTTCAATAAGCGATAATAGGGGTAATGAAAAGATATTTGTCGAAGATTGGGAAGATTTTTCACAACATTGGTTTGGAGAGTATAAATGAGCGTGTATATATAAACTGATTTATATCTAATTTTTTATCAATAAATATGTTAAAATATAAATATTTGCAGTTATTACGCAATTCGTTCGTTGAACATCTATGTCCCGGCAAAAATAGCAAGCGTTATCACTTTCTTACAAATTCTTCAATTCATTATCACAGTTATAATTTTAATTCATGTTGGCTTTTTGATGAGCACGAATGCAAACATTGATGGAACTTGGCATACTTATATATATTGTTTTACAATGGAAATACTTTATATAATACTTTTTGCGAATTTCTTTCATAAATCATATATAAAAGGCGGCGGAAAAAAATTTATTTCTGAAAAAGAAGTAAATAAAAGAAAATAAACTGAATAAATATTATCAATTTTATACTGCTCATCTCATAAGTTGATTTATGAAACGAAAAGAAAATAGAAGTTATCATTCTAAAAATTATTGAAAAAACAATTTCGATTTTTATTTTTTTTTGGTTTTTAATCACTTATCAACAGCTGTAAAAGATATCAAAGTTACCAGTCTTAAAGTTATAAATTTTTATAACTTTAAGATACGAAATGAATGGACGAAATTTTCTCTTAGTGTTTTTTTTTTTAATCGAACTGTTAGTTCATCATAGAGGTGGTTTTAATCTTTTCATTTTTTTTTTCTCTTATCTATAAATTATTTTATTAGCAGTTTATTTAAATAGTACGAATGTTTAGGAGAATATTTTTAGTGTTCTTTCAGTTAAAGATCTTATTGTTATTGCTGATAAATTTTATCAGTGGTTAATTTAGGTTTCGAAATTTTTTTTAAGTAAAAATTTTGTACTTTTACTTTCATGCAGTCTGATGCAATTAGGTGATTTATTTTCGAAGGCTGTATGAAAGATTTGAATTATTATTACCGTTCAAACGATTCGCTAAAAAAATTTTTTACTTGATAATTGGACGGTTTTCTTTTTTCCCTAAAAAAAACTTTTCTAAATTAATTATTTATGAAACGAAAGACTTAATTTTTTTGTAATGTTCATTTTAAGATGGTTACTAAATTCTTATTTTTTTATTAAATTTTTTCACTTTATTTTGACATTTAACGAATTTTTCATTGTTACTACGATTATTTTCGTAAATTATTTTTGAATAAAAATTTTTGAAAGATTTTGAAGAAAAAATTAGTGAAGTATTTAAATATATTTTTTACTTATATTTTTAAAAATATGAAGATGGGAAAAATATGTTTACTTCGAGAATTTTTATTCGAACTTTTTTTGTTAAAAATTCCGAACTCTTTTTTTTGAGAATTTTTGTTAAATTTTTTTTGCAATAATTTAAAATGATTGTTTAAGAATTTTCTTTTTTTCTAAATTATCAAAAAAAACCGGTTTTCGTAAAGTTTGTGACAATTAATTTTCGATTTTTTTGCGGAAATGTTTCAAAAAAATTCTATCATTGTTCCATCATGAAAGATTGTGTTTTCTATATTTTAGTGTGGTAGATAGCTCATATTTAACGAGGAAGATTGAACATGTCATTTCAAATTAGGAAAAGGTTTAATTTTTCAAAAAAAGTAAAAAAACTGTGGAACCCGTTTGAAGCTTGTCAAGGCCATTTCTTCTGTCGAATTGCCTCTATTAAAATCGTTTTTTGGATTTCGCTTTTTAGAATAGAAGTTTAAAAAATTTTTGTGAAATCCAATAAGCGATTGTTGTGAGCGAATTTCGATGAGTGTTTGCGATTTACATATTTAACCATTTTCAGTGGATGCTTGGTGGGAAGTTTTTCTCGGTTGAAAGCAATTCCTTAATGAGTGGAAGTCAGCCAAACTAAGTTAGAAGATTAGTTCTGATGAAATATTTCGTTTGTTATGAAAATACCACCGTGCGGGCGCGCGGGATTCTCTTCAACTCTTAAGGCAATTGCCTTTGTGCACATCTGCAAGTTCCCCATGTCACTCTTAATTCTCGATGTACTTTCTCGAAATCCTCAGTTTCATGATGCTTTTAATTTGTAATTTTCTAGATTCTTATTGGCAGAACATGCATTTTAAGGGGCTAAAATGGCAGAAAGAAATCTAAGGTGGGGCATCATTACCGGACTACGCCAAAAGAGAGTAGCAGTAATTCGAATGATTTATAATATTTAACGGTATTTTTCACATCTGACTAGTTTTAAGGGATGTCAAAGGATTCCAGCAATGAAAGGTTTTCCAAGAGGGTTAAGGGCTCGCGACAAAAGAATAGAGTGGGGTTTGTCGCTAATCCAAGGAAATATAATTTTCCGGTTTCAGTAAAATTTAGCGAAAGAGGATGACAAGTCCTGACGAAGTTGTCATAGAATTGTGATATTGTATTAGGGGAGTTCCGGTACGAGATTTCTATTAAATTTACTAGGCAAAGAACGCAGCCAACTCGGTGTATGATAAAATTATTGTAAAATCTATAAAAATCTGTAATCTGTAAAGTTTGTCAATTCGTTTTTCATGAAAATTTACAATTTTTTTCAGGAAAATGAGTCTCATATTCTCATCAAAATTTGATTATGAAAGAGCGAAAAATTGGATATCAAATATGGAATCAACAGCGTTTAATTTATCTTTGTTATATATAATTAGTATATTTTCTATTAAATATACATTACAAAATCGTAAAGCGCTAAATTTAAAATGGCCTCTCGTATTGTGGAACGCATTTCTCGCTATATTTAGTGTCACTGGATTCGTTAGAATAACGCCCGTATTTATCCAACAAATCAAACAACAAGGAGTTATTAGTTCGTTTTTTATTGCTTTATTTATTCCTTTTAATACATTATTCATTTTGAAATGAGTTTTTATGTTTTGATTTGTTGATTGATTTAAATGAAAAATTAAAAAAACATGTAAATATAAATGTAGAAATGTAATACTGATTATAACAGTGTTCAATTAAAGCAGTATTGTTTAGTTATGAAAATCTTTTTCAGTTTTCCACACAATTTTTTCGAATTTATCTTGAATTATTGTTTTGAGGTACATTTACAAAAATCGGACCATTATTCAACGATAATGTCGCTGGTTATTGGACATTTTTATGGGTTTTATCGAAGTTACCCGAATTTGTTGATACCATCTTTATTGTATTAAGGAAACGTCCATTAATATTTATGCACTGGTATCACCATGCGTTAACAAGTTATTTTGGCTTTGTTGCTTATGCATCAAGTGATGCTTTCTTGATATGGATTGTTTGGCTTAATTATTTTATTCATTCACTAATGTACAGGTTCGTTTTTATAAATTAATGATTTTATTTTTTGGGGACTTGATTATTTTATTTTATTTTAATATCATTCTGATCTAATATTTTAGCTATTTTATGCTACAGTCGTTGAGGCTTCGTCTTCCACCTCAAGTAGCTCAACTTCTCACCGCTAGTCAAATCATTCAGGTTTGTTTTTTGGTATGGTTGTGATACTTTTTTGAATCAGTTATTTTAATTATTATATGCAGTTCGTATAAGAATTACATCATTTCAAATATTCGCGTCTATCAATTATATCAACTTTCTTCTTCTTCTTCTTCAAACAGCTCTTGGCTAGGCTGGCTCCAACGGCTACAAGGGTAAGACGCTTCCAAGCGGCGCGGTCTGGTGCCATCGTCGACAATAATAGAAGCCATTTCTTTTTCCATCGTCAACTCCTGTGGTAGACGATGGAGAATGTGACTCAATTAGCGAAGGCGGTGCTCTATGATAACATTATTTATGCGAGTGGTATTTGAATCAAGGTGAATATATGTGATATGTGATATTTTATCTGCTCGACGGATCCATAAAATGTACCTTAGGCAAGAGGTCATAGGCAGGTAACTTTTTATCCTCCACTTAATATCCTCCACTCTCATTGGCTATGTCTCAGAACCATATAGCAAGATCGAAGGATAATGGCTATAGATGCGGTCTTTCGTTTTTATGGTAATTTCTTGACGACTCCATGAAGATTTCGTCAATCGAAAGAACCTATTTCTAGCTGCCGTGGTTTGGATTTTAATATCATCTTTTGCCTGGCCATTTGGCATTAAAGTGGATCCAAGGTATTTAAAAGTTGGGCACACCCTCAACTGATAATTAATTTATAAAAAGAGGCATTTTATCAGCTTCTTGCACACAAGGCGAAAAGGCTTTCATTTTATTTACATTGATCCTGAGTCCGATTCTCGCTGCAGTTGCTGACACGTTATTTAGCATTATTTGCATTTCATCATAACTATAAGCAAAAAGGACTGCATATTCAAGATCTGTGATACGATGCTCTAGGCTGATTTGGACACCTCTTGATTGCCGTCAAGCGATGTCCATTATCCAATTTATTGCATAGTTGAATATTATAAAGGAAAGGACACAACCTTCATGGACATCAGTTCTTATTTCGAAGGAATCTGTCAACTCCCCATATACACCTGCGCCAACCTACGCTCATAAAATGCCTTTATGAATTGAGATATTTCTTTTGAAACCATCGCATTCCATCACCCTCTAAAGCACCGCTCTATCAATTGAATCAAAGGCAGCCGCAAAGTCCATATCTGGAGCCTTCTTGTTCCTTCTTAACGTGTGGTCCATATCTGGTCAGTTCAACCGCACCCCTGTCTGAAACCAGCTTGATTAGCCCTCATCCTGCTGTACCTTTATCCCGGCCGACAAAGTTGGAGCATATAAACATTGATGGCCGAGATATTGCTGAATTTACCTTTGAAACGGGCATAGGGCATGCGGTCACTTACCGGTCTTCACTCAATCAAAACGGGAATGGGCCTTGTCAGACATGACAATTGCTGCGCCATTTCATCCCGAGTGATATAGCCAGTATCTCTTCTCGGAACCAGGATTAGTGATTATTCGAGATACGAAATGAGGAAGATGGACTCCGACAAGCAGGCAATATCCACGTGATATTTAGAAAAGGTATGGATAACAATCGCTTAACTTGCAACGTCCATAAGCTTTCTGACGTTCCACGCTGATACGGTTAATACTTCGTCGCTCGTGCAGAGGGCTGTTCCCTTTGATAGATATCGAGCATTTTATTTATCAGTCTTGGGATCACTTTACGCCCAAATACTTATCGCATGTACCATGGAGCTGGGAGTATTATGCGCTTCGGAAGGTGCGAACGCCGTATCAAGAATATTTGACCCTTTCACCATAGAGTCGCTTGGGAATAGAGTGGGTCCTCAGCAACCACCTGGATTTTTAACATGACAGGTTTGCTCCTGTCAAAGACATACTTAATTATTTTATATTATTTTATAATATTGTTATAAATTTTATATATATATATATATATATAGTCCAATTCTTTGTTTTTTTTAAATTTAAGAAAAAGAGAAAAAGAAGAAAAAAGAAACAGAAAAAGGACACTTAGCTTAGTTCGAAGTTTACAGAAAATTCTAGAAAGTATTCTGAAAAATTAATTACAGCAGAATGACAATACAACCGCTCAAACCATAAATACTTTCATTTATATCAACCGCAGTTTTAATTTAATTTAAACTTTTTTTTTTTCAGTTTTTAATTACTCATGTTGTGATGATTTATTTGGCATTTCTGGTTCTCACAACGGATGGTAAATACGATATATCGGTCAGAGGTTTCCTAACTGGTGCTTTCATGGAAATTACTTATCTTATTCTTTGGATTCGATTTTATTATGATTCTTATATTAATAACGGTGGGAGAAAATATTCAATTCATATGAAAGCTGATAAAGCTGCATAATTGTCAATAAAAAATGGCATTTCAAGAGAAACTCGATTTCCTCTATTCGTTTTTATGTTAATTTTAATTACTTCAAATTCCATATATTTGAAGTCAAAATTGTTAGAAGTTGAAAATGGTGTTAAATAGGATGATAATATGATTGTTTATTATTATTATTGGTAATACTCCATTAATATTTTTTTCACACAAATTTAAAGATTCATTTTATAATTTTTGATTATATTTTAGTGTTTTCATTAAAGTATAAATTTTAAAACATATTTATGGAAGAAAATGTTGAAATATTGAATATTCTCATATTATTAACTCATTTTATTTTGTGCCTAAATTTTTTTTCCAATTTTTTTATTAATCAAACCTTTTTCACGTTCTGCGAATTTTTCGTATTTTTTCTGATTTATAGTTGTGAAATTATGAAATTATGAAAAATGAAAATTTGCTTATTTTTGCTTTTTGCTTATTTCTTGATAATTTCACATTTTACTCCGATTATACTTCCCACAGGTCACATCATAACTGGTTAAGATTATTCCACTGGCTATAAGAGTTAGGCATTCTGTTATTCGTCCTAAAATGTGTGCAGTTTTTTTTTCTTTTTTAGGTACGATGTTTTGCCATACGTTGTTTTGCCATACGATTCGTTGTTTGTTACATTTATTTTTCTTGTGATAGGAATAAAATTAATTCATCATTTGCTTAATTTCGATATTTATTTTAATTTCGACATATAAAAAATTGTATAAAATGGTAACGTTGAGTTATATTTTCGGTGATTCATTAAATAATTCAAATTACCCGATTAATTAGAATTATAATTTATAATTAGGACTATTTTTTATTCGATTTATTTTTGTTCCATTTATTTTCATAATTTAGATACTTCTTTGGCTGTTTTATTAGATGGAGTATAAAAATTTGTTCTTTCGTCTCCCTTTTGGAAGCATTGGAATAGTTTTTGTTGCACTAAAAGTTAGAGAGGAGAAGCTAGCAGTAGTTGCGAGAGTTATTAGGTAAATTTACCAGTCGCTTTAAAAAATATTTAAATACTTAACACCAAAAATTAGGCAAAATAGTAAATATTCTTTCGAAGGCTGGAATTTGCAAAAAACGGAAAGGTTTTTTTCAAATAATATATATTCACTGCAAACGCTCTATAACAAAGGAACTGTCACAGTAACGATAATAACGCCGCCGTCATCCAACACATCGACCGTTGTTGCAAATGCCCATTGGACATTGGCCATTTACACAGGGCCCATCTAAATTATTAAAAATATTTTCCATTCATGCATTTTAAGTTTAAGCGAGCCTTAAACGAAACTTTCTTTTACAAAAAAATGAGTTTGAGGAAAAGTTTAATTATCCTACAACTATCGAGTGATGAGAGATAAACTTTCTGGCTATCAAATCTGGCTGAAAATCAAATTTAATACTTCCTTTGAAGAAAGTTTCTTATTTCTTAGTCATTGCCTAATTCTTTATCATTGAAAAGTGCTATTATAAATTTGTAATATTTATATGCGAATATGGACAAACAGTCATTGTTTACAGGACAACAGTTGTTATTGAAGCAGGCATATCTATCAGGACACTGATTGTTCACGCATGGGCCAATACCTGAAAATAAAAAACGATTAATTGCCAAATTTGTTAATTGCCAAATTGACCATTTTAAGCAACTGAAAGTTGTTAAGTTGCTATCTATAAAAATATAATTGTCAAAATTAAATTTCTGTTAAATGTCCACTGAATCAATTCATCAAATGGTAACCAAAAAATAACAAGAGGTGAGGTCATCATAATGTCAAAAAGAATTCACAAAAGTCCTCTTAAATTCTGGCCGAACTAAGTGAGAGGTATTGAATAACTATATAGACAGGTGAACTGGAAAAATTCAAGCCTTTTCTTTGATTGAATAAATCTCCGAATTGTCAATAATAACAATAATTGAAAAAAGTAATGGGAATTGCAAATGTGGTTTATAATATGCTTTGAACTGTAATAAAATTGTAGCAAAATGAAAACATACACCACCTGCACCACCTGGACAAGCAGTAGGAATTGCTGGAGCAGGAGGAGCTGGAGTTGGAAGTGTGTAAAATGGATAACACCAGTCAAGCCAATAACAGGGATTCGTCTCTGAAGTTGTCAATCATTAGACATTGTAAGAATAATGTAAAAATCTATTTCTTTTGAAATTTTCTTCGTATTTTATGAATCTAAATTTTTTAAATTTTTAAAGTGGTTTTCGTTTTAAAAATGGTAGTTTCAAATTTTTTTCCGTTTTCTCTTTTCCATCAATTTTGAAAACAAAATTTATTTTATTTATTCAAATTATGCTGAAAAAAGAGCAAAAATATAAAATATAAAAGCAAACATTCGTATGCAATTTTGAAATTCCCTTTTTTTTCACTGCGCAAAAGTCGCGCTAAGCACAATGAAAAATTATCATTAAAATTTCTAATAGATTTATGAAAGAAAAATTCATTTAAAATAAGAATTTATGAAAAAAGAATTCTTTTCAGCAAAGAATATTAAAGGTATTTTAAGTAATTAAAATCGTCAGAATTTAGACTTATTTTGATATTTCTGCAGGAATTATTCGTAATATTCAAAAAATGCAAAGTTTTTAATTCAATAATTTGTTGCAACATTTTTTTAGGTTCGATAAAGTGATAAGAGGCCACGCTGATAAAAAATGGCAAAAAATTAAAATTTATTGACTCGTGAAGCAACAATGCCAATAATAAAATGGACCCTCACAAATTCATCGTTATTATCGAATTCTCACCATACAAAATAATTGAAAATATAGTAAAATTTTGGAAATGCAATTCAATTTGATAAATACGAAATCAATTTTTCTCAAAAATTTTTAAAGAATTTCTAAAAGGCTTCTTTTCATACCGCTATAAATATTTAATATTTAATACTTTTCTGCGCTAATATTTTATATAAATATTATATTACAATAATATTAACATTATAATATCACAGCAATAAATAATATTTTATATAAATATATAATTTTATTATAATATTTTAATATCACAAATATCACAATAATAAACATATCACAAGATTATAATATTAATATATTATAATAATAGCAAATATTAAATATTTTATTGTTATCATTATTATACAATTTTACTGCCATCATATTCTTACTATTTTTATATATCGAGAATGCCATTTTGAAAAAAATATTATATGATAACTGCACTAAGTAATGATACATTGTGGATTTATTATCTCATCTATCCAGAATTCGAAATCGCAAATGTGGATTTATGGATAAGAAGGGCTGTTACTATCCGATCTGGTTATTTATTTATAAACTGGTCCGAATTTCTTAATTTCTGGACCCATTACAATTGTAATAGTATTATATGTAAACTTATAAGTTACCTGTGGACAAAGTTAAAATTATAAGAAGAGTGAATTTGCACATAGCGATCCCGATAGGAAATGCAAACAGCAAGTGTAATTCAAATAAATTCATCCGGTTACTTTTATAAATTCGCGCCTCATTCATTAAAAAAAAACTCGAATTACAAGCATTCATCATGCACATAATGATGATAACAATGCATACAACTTTCCTATTTTATGGATTAATTGATCAATGATTAATAATGTTCATTGCTAAAATCCGAAATAAATCCGAAATTTTCTCATTTTTTCAGAAAGTAATATTATTTGAATAGTTTTAGAATTTTTAATATTCAAATAAAATTAAAATTAGAAAAATTTAATTAGTAAAAAATTTAATTAATTTAATTCAATTAAATCAAATTTAATTTAATTATTTCGAAATCTTTCCGGTCTTTTTTTTTAGACAATGGATTTTTAATAAAAAAACTTTTCGACTTTCCATGAATATGAAAAATTTTTCGAGAAATGTGATATGCACTATAAAATTTTAAAAACTAGAATTTTTAATTTATAAATCATTTTTTTCGTAACTTTTTTCGATAAATCATTTCAATAAATATATTTCTTATTGTTACTGAATCATAGCCTTTCTGTACAGAAATTATTTACATAATACAAATTTAGTAAATCGTGGTACTTAGGAATTGAATCGATTTGAACCAGTGCTCAAAGTTAAAATGAATGTTAAAATGACCTATTTCAAATGTTTCAATCCGAAAGCCAACCCAAAATTTCCTTAATTAAATCAAAGGTAATTAACGGTAATATTTTTATACTTTTCTTTTTTGCATGGATTGAAATCCTCGAAGTCAAATCATTTACTGATGCTTTTTTCTCGTGAAATATGGATTATAAATATCTAATGATTTGCAAAGTTTGTGCAATAAGCAATATCCTAGAAAAAAAGGATTCTAAAAGATGGAAATAACCAATATGTATTCGATGAATTTTCATGACTATAATGTCTACTTTTGAATGGAAGTAAAATTAACTTTTAGGTTCAGTATTGAATTTCATTTTTTCAATATTTTAATTATATATCTGCGAATAAATAATGGAGATGAAATTTCCCCGACTCGAACTAGAATAATCCTCCTCCGCATGCTCCGCGAAGTCGGGGAGTTTTTTCAGTTAATTTGAGTCTTTTGATAAACAAGCAATTCTCTATTGCCGACAAAATTGCATAAAAAATAAAAAAGGTTCTATTTATATAAAAAATAAACTATATAAAAGCGCTTGAAATTTGAATAATTAATTGGCAAAACAAAAATAAAGAAAAGCTAACGTGGAACCGTCCAAACCGGGCAACAGTAGTAATTCATGATACCGCAAGTATCACAACAACAATAGAGATAATTAGCACCAACTAAAATTTGTCATTTTTTATAACTGAAAGACAAAGTAACTCAGTAAAATAGTAGTTGATTTGTGGAACGAATAATTCAAATTTAATCATTTGTACAGCAGAAAGCAGAAAGTTTCTTGGATTTTATCTCTATGCTAGTTTGCTAATGCGAAGGTACGAACCTGGATAATGGTACTTAAGCGATCTTTAAAGCAATCTGAAAATGGTTCTATTTTCAATTTATAAATAAATGATAATAGGCTATTACCTGTATGAGCTGAAAATAAGATAATAAAAGTTTTCAGCATGTTGATTACTATTAGTGTTAAATGCAAATACTGAAATGAGGTTTGCAATAAGTGATTGATAAACTGCGAGTTTTTCCATTTTATTTAAAAAGTTTTTGCTGGACAAACATGAGAAATCCGGTACTGAGAGAAAATAAATTTTCTCTAAGAATAAATATCATCTAAAATGTTTGAAGAAACGACAGTTTATACGACAGTTTATATGTGCAGTGCAATTTGTTGAAATTTTTTGATAAATTAACTTTTCTGGAATTTAAATGAGCTTTTTTCCCACTTTAATCCACCAATCCAGAAACATTCATTAACTGAACATAGTTTAATGGCAATTAATTTTGACAAATTCTATTACTAAACTCCACGAAATCATCAAACACATTATTTTCAATTATTTTTTATTACTTTTAATTGTCTTTGTAATCTCAGTGATTATATGTATTTTAGCAATAATTAATGTCTCTTTTATCATTTGTTTTTGAAATAATAAGGAAAATTCCGATCGCATTTCACATTTAATATATTTTATATCTTATAAACATATGTTTAAAATCCTTAAAATTCGTTAAAATAACTGAATCTTTTTCAATTTTTATCTAAAATAAACAGCAAATTACTGCAAATTACAATAAATGTTTGACTACCTAATTTGAGTAAAATGAATTTAGGCTTTAAATCAATGCAATTCATAGAAAATTTTTTACAAAAAGTGCTGAAATATTTAATGTAACAATTTGTGTTGTGGTAATGAATATTTTAAAATTTTTTAAATATATAAAAATAAATGAGAAATGATAGAAATATTTGAATTAAAAGTCTCAAAATGCAATAGTACAAATCTATAAATAACAAATACAAAAATGCAAATTTATATTCAAATTTCAATTTTTTTGATTTCAAACGTCGAATGAAATTTATCCAATTGAAATATAAATTTGTAATAAAAAAAATAAAACATAAATAATAAAAATAATCATAAATAATAAAAATTATGATCGACAACGATTTCACTGGGTTTTTTTCAGTCCAAAGGAAATGCTATCGGCTATCTTTCCAAAGAATTTCATCAATTAAGCGTTTCGTCGTTAGTATTTTTTTGATTTCCGATGAATGAATGGAACAACACAGTTGAAAATTCTTTGTTCATAGAACCGTTTATATTTTAGACTGCTTTATTCACTTTTAATTACTCTTTAAAATTTTAAATTCAAAAATTTATTAATTATATTTATTTATTTAATGCAGAAACATAAAAGGAGAGAAAATTTAGAAAATTTTTGGCAACAACGCAGAGAGAAAAAAATATACGTTGCCAGCACGATGTTTCTTCGTACCTCTTATAAATGATATAAACCTTATTTTCACATACGAAATTGCGTGAAAATTACTAAAGAAAGTAGAAAGCAGAATATGAAATATACTCGGAAATCTCGAAATCTTTACAATGAATAATCGAACGAGACGAACGTCTCGTTCGATTATTTCTACAAACATTATTTACAAGAATGTAAGGTGAAATGAACGAAAATTAATTCCACTATGGAAAACGTATATTTGGTGATTAACTGAGTCAACAAAACAGTTTCAAATTAATCTAAAAAAAAAAGCAAATAATTTATTTTTATCAAAGGAATTTGAAGTTACACTTTACAATGTAAAAAAGAAATATGAAACAATACTTAATTATAATTACTACAAAAGTTGAATAAGAAATAGAAATTATTAATACGATGTAATTTTGTGAAAAACATTCCGGAAAATCGGCAATTAGAAGTTCAAATTTTATTATTTTCATAAATTTAAATTTGGATTTTTTTATTCAAAAGCAGTAATAAAAACAAAGAAAATTCAAAGAAAATTTATAATTACACATAATTCAATAATTATACACATGCAACAACTAATATGATTAATAATATGCCTAACTGCAACAATCAATTCATTCATCTTCGTCATCTTCAATGATTATCTTCTTTTTTTGCTTCCGCACTTCCTGAAGAGGTTATTCACAAAATTTTCTGGACTAATGAGAGAAAAGTTTGTTTGTTTGTTTGTCTTCTGTCGTCTTTTCATAAATATACAAATACAAATTTAAGAGTAAAAAAAATATAAAGTAAATAATTTGTTACTTGGTCGCTATCGCTAGTATCTCCACTGTCATGTTTCGCATCATGAAGGCGTCGTGAATCAGAATCTTCAGAATCCGAATGATCGGGCATTGAACGATCACCATATCCATATTTATACTTATTCTTGATTGCTGCGATCGATTCTCCTTCTAACAGCACAAAAAAATTTAAAAAATTTTAGTTTTCAAAAAAGCCCAAATGCCTTTTAAAATTGAAATACATTCAATAAATAGGACAATAGAGGCATAATGACCTGAATCTTCATCCTTTTCTTCGAGGAAATTTGCAGAAAGTCCACTACGCATCATAGGCCTTAATCGATTTCGCCTTTGTTGGGCCTCGCGTCGATTTTGAGCCCGAAGACGCTCTTCTTCTTTACGCACAATTTCCTTAAGTCATTCTCACAGATAAAAAAAGAAATTGAAAATTGAGCATAATAAATGGTCATTTAATGAATGAATCAAAATTAACAGCTTTCTGTGATTCAGGATTTTCGCCAACTGCAGTCAAAACTTTGACTCTTTGAGATTTGTTGGAACGGTCGGCCATGGATAAAGTTACTTTACGATGTGTAACAGAGTCAGTAGAATGAGGACGAAAGACCATTTTTTCCCTGAAAAAACGTACTAAAAAAGCTCAATGATAATATCAAATAAAAATTTATATATATATACCATATTTTTCACATTCTTATGTAAAGAAATAAAAACCAATCTAACGCTTAACCAGAAAACATTTATGCACAAAAGTTTAAAAAAGAACTTGAAAACTGCATGGCCCTGAAGACCTGCACCTTGACGCAAAAAAAGATGATTATCATGCTGCATCGGCTGAACCATTATGTCAAATACTTCACTGCCAAGATAAAGTGACATGCTAAAAAGCCTTTTTCTCAATACAGACTATACAATAAAATAATATATGCTTAATGGAATTTAAAATAATGGATAAACCTTCCATCTGACCACTTTACAATCTTGGAATTGCTTTGTTTTATTATATCTCCATTTTCATCCAAAGCATAACGCCACCTAATCGTATTTTCCACCTCAAATATTAACATTAAATGAACAAAAATATATTCTTATATTTATTCAAATTTATTTTTTTCATTTTCTATTGAGCTCCCACAATTTCGACAAGATTTTTATTATATGGAAAAAATCAAAGAATATAATGGCTTAATTTAATTTTTTCCGTTGTTCATCATGGTTCCATCTTCATTATTTTTCGATTGCTCATCCATTTAAATTTTTCGAAACATTGAATATTAATGCTTACTCTCAACTTTAATCTGGATCTTCCCTCTTCATCCATGAGATCATCTTCATCAAACTCGTCTTCATAGTGATCGGGATCGAAAGGATGTGAATCTATGCTTAGAAAATTTGGGACCTTTATAAAATAAAGCCCTTGTTCATTAAAATTGGGGCATATTCTGGCTGTATTTACTTCAACAACAGCCGGCTCAGGACGTTCATCTTCCTGCTCTGGTTCTGGATAAAGTCGAGTCCCAACTATATCATCATCTAAATTTTCCTGAAATTTACAGTCTTCGAATTTTTTAGCAAGTTAAATGAAGATAAGATAACATAAGATAAAAGATAAAAGATGACAACAAAATTAAATAATGTAAAAATACAAATTAAAACTGAAAAAAAGCAGTAGGAGACAACTTATTCATGCCTATTAATATATAAGAACATTATCAAAATGTAGAAAACCACACCTTGTTACCACTAACTTCAGTCATATCACTTCTGCTATCGCTCAACTCAATGTCAGCAAGATCATTTCCTTTATTTGCAGCATTATGTTCATTATCAGAAGCTTTTTCATCCTCATCCGAAGATAAAACTGCTCGCTTTTGCACTTTTTTCTCCGATGATGAACTAGTTCTACCACTACTACTGACTGATTCTTTCGCTAAAAATCCCAATACATGAATTTAAATTCAAAGTTTTAAATGAATCTGTATTAACCGGCTTTCTGTGGGGAACAAATTTAAAAATTAAAATTAAATCATATAAAATTAAATCAATTAATTAAGATTTGAAAAACAATGAAAGCGAACCTGCGAACTTTCTATTATCTTCTTCATCGCTACTTTCGGACATACTCCTCGAACTTCTTGACCTTCTATCGGCGCTACTACCATTAACTGATGATGCTTTACTTTCATGAGTTGATTTCTCACTATGCTGAGGTGAATTATCAACCTGTGATAATGACAAATTATCTCTTTTTGATATTTCAAAATTTTCCTGCGATGACTGATACGATATAATAGAAGTTTTCTTATCGGACGTGTCACTATCTTCTGAATTATTCTGATTTGACTGTTCACTGGTTGCGGATTTACTTTCATCACTGCTGGAATCAGCATCCGATGAACCATCGTCGGCTGACGACATCGCTGCAAGAAGTACTGCAAAAGACTGATAACGATCAAATAGCGATAAGATTTCTTGAGAATCAACGTTAAAATCATATAAAAACAAGTGAACTTAAAAAGAAAAATTAACTAATCGAGCAATAAAACTAATATTTAAAATAAGTTCTGAAAAATTAAACGACAATATTGAAAATAGTTCGCTGAACATCACATAAAATGAAATAATAAAGAGGTATAACTAAAAGAAAAGACAAATTCACAAGAAATATTAAATATAAAAATAATAAGAGACGAATGAGAATTCAAAACTCCAATTTACGATAGTTTATCGAATAACAAAAAATTGAAACGGCTCGGTGATTCTTTGCTTGCATTCTGAGGCGCCTACGCTGCCCTACTTCCGGCAGTAGTGAATCCATCTTTCAAAGAACTACTTCTACCACTACTGATTCGGGCGCCCCCATTCTGTGGTTATCTCTGCGGTTAAGCGAGCCTAAAGAAAAAATTTGATAAATAAAAATTAGAATAAAAACTGAAAATACACAAAGCAAACTAGAAAATTTATAAATTAGATAGAAATTTGCAGAAAGATGGACCGAACTCAGCCAAAAAAAAACCAGTGCAACACAACGAGAGTAGCCGAGGCCGATTTATTAATTGGCAGCTTCAGAATAAGAATCTGAAACATAGTGCTTCGAATTTAGGCTGCGATGAGAAAAAATCCCTGGACTGTGTGGCGTTAGGTTCGAGTGGTTTGCTATTGAGTTGGGGTTTAAAGCTAAAGGAGTGCGAGTGGCGGGGCAGACTGTTTTGCAGAACTCGGCAGTTTCGTGCCTTAGTGGCTTATTGGCTATAACACCGAAACGAAGCTTTTATTTTCTAATTTTCCACTTTTTTATAAAGATTTTCGAATTTTTATTGTTGCGTCGTGCTTTCTCTTTTCTTTCTAGCAAAGTGTTTATCTTTTCTTTCCGATTATTCGGTTTTCTTTCAACGCCATCAACAATAAATTTTTTTTAGACTTCAGGTGTTTTCCCTGTAGGAAATGAGTAAAGTTCAACGTGACGTTTTGGTTGAAGCGGTTAATGAAGTTTTAAAAGGGTCGAAAGTGAAGAAGAGGAAATTCCGCGAGTCGGTCGAGCTGCAGATTGCTTTAAAGAATTACGATCCTCAGAAAGACAAACGTTTTAGTGGCTCTGTCAGGTATATGCGAATTTTCTTTTCTTATGCAATGCTGCTGAATTTCGCTCATTCTACTTGAAAAAATTCTTCGAATAAATTAAACTGATTAAAATGTAAAATGTAAAATTTTGCCAGGTCAGAGCACCGATTCCTTCACTCATTTTTGTTGATAATAATTCTATCCGCGTAACTAATAATAACTAATTCTATCCTCGTAACTAACTTTTTCAGATAACTTGTTGACTGACGAGAATTTTTGATCTGCAAAATATAATATATTATATTTTGTTGAAAAGTCTTTCAAAACCTGAACGTCATGCTTAAAAATTTTGGAAATTTTGGAAAATCAGAAAATTTCATTTCAATATATAAAATATTCGTACGTCCACATGTTTTCCGATAGGTATAGCAAATTGTTTTAGTGAATTGAAAATTGAAGATTGTAGAAATACCTTTTACGCGGTTTAATACTGCTGTTATCAGATGCCTGTATGCTTGGTTTATTTACAAATATAGAAATAAATTTACTGTTAGTATCTCCTTGCGAAAATCGTTCTAGTAAACAATGGCAAGTGGTGATAGTGTCTAATCAATTTTTTTTATGAAAATATTAGTTAATTGAAGAGAGATCAAATATAATAAATGTTAATTCTAATTTTATCTATTAAAAAACACTTGCAGTTTTCGCGTAATCAAAAAGATGGATTTGCTCTGTTTATTCCGGTGATTTTTCAGATTGAAAAATATTCCCCGTCCAAAGATGAAAGTATGTGTGCTCGGTGATCAACAACATTGTGATGAAGCAAATGCAAATAATATTCCCTGTATGAATGCTGATGATTTGAAAAAACTTAATAAGAATAAAAAACTTATTAAGAAACTTGCGAAAGTAATTTTTTTGCATTAAATAAAACTAAAATTGAAAAAACTGTTGGAATTAATAAGAATTGCATTTTTAGGGTTATCACGCTTTTCTCGCATCAGAAGCGCTTATTAAACAAATTCCACGTATTCTTGGCCCAGGATTAAACAAAGCCGGCAAATTCCCTTCAGTCGTCACGCATTCAGAACCCCTTGCAGCCAAAGTTGATGAGATTCGTTCAACCATAAAATTTCAAATGAAAAAGGTTATTTTTGTACGCTTTTCTTTTTTAAAGTGAAATTTTATATTCGTGCCAACCACTTTGAACAATTATTTTTTTAGGTTCTTTGTTTATCAGTGGCAATTGGGCACGTGGAGATGACTACCGATGAGTTGGTATCAAATGTGGCTTTGTCAATTAACTTTTTGGTTTCGCTTTTAAAAAAGAATTGGCAAAATGTTCGCTCCCTCCACATCAAAAGTACCATGGGGCATCCTCAGCGTCTTTATTAAACTGGTTATGATTATTTTTAATGTTTTATAAAAATAAAGTTTTGAAAATTTTCTGATCAATTTCTTGATAAATGCAACAAAGTTCGATGGCATGGGCAATTTTTACAGTGAGCATAAACTCTCTACCAGATTTATCATAAAAGTATCAAAATTAGATAATTACGGAGCATATATGAAGTAACTCTTCATTTATTTAATCATGGCGTAATTCAAGCTTATGATATCACTAATATTTTTCTGTAAACTCTTAGAAGATTATCAAAAAATATTCCATTTTATTGCTAACCTTTTTATTAATTTTAATTTGATATTAAATGATTCAAGTAATTTAATATAAGTCAAGGAAAAATGAATGTTCGTCTCTGAACAGTAGAGAAACATTTAAATTGATTTTCTCGTAGGACAAAAATTAATATGATTATAATGATAATTAATACGTAAATTTTAAATTTCAACTATAAAATGAGAAAATATGCCAAATGCCACGAATAGTTAAAATATAACCCTAAAATAATGACGAATAAAAATTCAAATTTAAAATGCATAAAAAATACAGTAGGGATGATTAAACCATTATCGAAATGCTTATGAAAAAAATAAAATACCCGAGTGAGACAAATAAAGGATTTGAAAAAAAAAGAAAACGAATCTATGGCAAGAAGAAATTCGGTTATTTACAGATGATTTTTTAATCACGTATAGCAATTAAAATTTTTTCCACCCAAGTTTCAGCATCGCTTCTTGATTCAGCCAATAGTGAATATGATCTCCTCGTAGTTTTAATCTAAAATTTTAGATATCTCGTATCTCGTATTTATTTACTTAATAGTGCATTAATAACCACTAATGGTGCACTAATAAATTAAAATTAACAATAACTATGAAATAATTTAAAATTTGCTATAAAATTTAGATAGCAACTAATCATTAAGAAATTTATTTTCAGTTATCAAATTTTGAAAAAATTTAAACTTAACAAAAAATACCTCAAGTAATGGCTTTTTAAGGGTTTGGCTTAAAGTCGTATCCACTGATCGAATGTCGGCCAAATCGATTATGCCTCGACAATTTAAATCATTTTCATTTTCATAATATCTTAGCTGAAATTCAAGTGAAGATAAGAAAAGATTCGTTTCAGAATTTTGATGCATATATCACTTTTAACCGACTCATAGGCTGTTGGGTTACCTGATGTTTACTGCAATCCAGTACAAACCATCGTGGCTTCCACAATTTAAATGTCGCACCTTTTTTCATTAAATAACCAACGTGAGTAGCATATGCATGAGGACGAGTTCCACTTGGAGTTAAAGTTTTATCTTCAGATACTGAAACATGATATTTTGAAAATTTTATGGTTCGAAAACAAACAAACAAAACATTACAAATAAAAAATAAGGGTAAATTTTCACCACCCATAGCTAAAATGAAAATAAAATTCTTGAGATAATATTTATTATGAAAAATTCTAATGTCATTTCAATTCAGTAAATTCTATTTGACTCTGATTTCATCACAGCTTGTTGTTTTAAACTTAAAAAATATATGGCTGTTAGCATTAAAATAAATGGATGTTATAAAAAAAGCTAAATCAAACTTGGAGAAACGGCTGGTGGCGGTGAATTTTTAGAGACGGTAGTGTTCTTAATTTCAACTTTCATGGCAGGGCAAGGAGATGAAACTATTGGAGAACACTTTTCATGACAAGTCATCCCACATCCAGAACAACGATGTACTGTGGAAATAATTTGTATGATTAAAATTATCTCGTATTTATTTACTTTAAAACAAGCGAAAAATATAAAAATATAGGCTATTCATATAAATTATACTAATAAAAATTTGGATTAAAGTAAAAATTAACTGTTCTTTACAGTTGTTCCAGGATAACTTTGATGGCAAACAGCACAAACATCTCCTGGGGTAACCGGCTGACCAATAAATTGATGACCAGAGCAGCTGCAAATATTGATTAGTATCGCTCCAAGAGTTAATTTCTTCAACTGCTCTTTTTACTTACAGTGTTTAAATCAGCACAGTATAAGAAATGAAGACTAACGAATCGTTTTCACGAAAACGAGATAAACGATGCTGATGACCAACACCGCGCAATAACAACTTAATTGTATCCTTTTTTTGCATAGTTCGTCTCAAGTGATATCGCCATTTCATCATGGCTAATAAATTTTCTTTTTCATCCTAAATATAATGAAATTCACCAAATCTGCACCAAATAATGTAACCAAAAGAATTCGAAAAATATTACCGAGCATTGAACAGAATTCTTAGACATCATACGAACATCTGCCTCATTGAAAATCTTCTTCCATGACTCGCTTCGTTCAACATTTTCACCATCGTATAATGATCGAAAACGTAAATGATCCTTAAATTATTGATTTTATCAATTTTTAATTAAAGATAAAAAATTATTGAACAAAATTGAACCAAAAGCATAAGAATGGATTCAGTCAACTCAGTTTTGAAAATGACTATATCATACGATGATCTCAATTTAACCTCAAGATATGATGAAAATGAGTCCAAAGCAATGAAATTTATGCATGAATAATTTGAATTTAATGTACGCCTTCTTGTCACCGTTCCTGAAGCATTAGCTTCAGCCAGCGTCTCAAAACGCTCATCTTCTCGTTGCTGGTGTTCTATTTCAGCAACTTCTGAAATAATAAACTTTTTTGAAATCTATAGCGATATTATTTTGAAAAAAATAATAACCTATATCATATGGTGAACCATGTGCGAGATAATCCTCACTATAATAAGACCACAAATCTAAACTGGCGATACTGCTCTGCGGTCGAATGATTCCAGTTTGCTCCGGTAAATAAGCAAAATTTTCAAAAATTTGCGACCTATAAAGGAGTACAGGAGTAAGGAGAATTGCATAAATAAAACTTTTAAAAAATCCAATCAAAAAATTCTGATCCATACTCCATTTTTTAAAATTATTCCAAATAAAATTTTTTTACAAATAGTTCAAATAGTGGTTCCAAAAAAATTAGTTTTTTTAGTTTATTATTAGTTTTATCAGCAATTCGTATAAAAATTTTATAACCATAATTAATGAAACTGTTTTTTCGCATATCTTAAGAATAAATCTGTCATCAAAATCAAAATCTGGCCCAGTTCTACTAACGACCCAATTGTACCTAAACTACCAAGTGATTCTATACCAAAACGTATTTTGGCACCCATGGCAACTCCATCATATATAAGACAAGTCTGAATAAATATATGCAAAACAAGTCCGAAAATGGTAACAGTGTTGAAACAACTAAGGCATGTTAACAGTGGCTCTTGGATTTCTGGAAAGGTCGACGAGTACTGATTGCAAATAAGGTTCCCAGAATATATTCTAAACCCACCCTAAGATGCACCACTTACAAGAAAGTATATTTCACATGGAACTGTCCAACTACTCGATTATGCTACCAGAGCCCATATCAGGACAGTAATTAGCTCCAAAGACTATCTACAACAATATCTGCAGCAAGATAAGAAACCTATTCGAATCATATGGCCCACAGCTCGAATAGGCAAATACCGAGATTATCATGTTCAATATGGCACACCTCTTCTCATAGAAAATTGTCTATTTTCATCTATTCCGCAAAGCAACCATATCTGAGAGATAAGTGAAGGAGATAAGAATCCCATTAAAATAAAGCTCTCTCGATGAAAAGGATATCTAAAATCATTGGGCCATTCATTAGGAAAATAAGCTTTAGAAAAATAAAACCTAACCAAAGGGTAAGGTTTCTGAACTTTTCAAATATTTTTCGGCATCCTTCACAAAGAGATGCACCGATGGCCCTACTGTCGAATATATCAAGAAAATATTTTTTTTTAAGAGCCCTCACCATTGCTGGTTAAAATCGCTCCGCTGGCTTTCCGCATTGGGCAATATGCCAGGGAGTTCCCTTGACGATAGAAATACAGGTGAGTCGCCAGCACCACCCGGAAGTTATTTATCTTTGATCATTTTTATCTAAAGTAAATCTTTCGTACTCACCATTTTTTTTAGCCCTGTGGCGTCAAAAGTGATTTTTACGAAATGCGAAAAATTGTTTTGAATAAATCAAATGTATTACCTCGAAATACCAAATTAATTGATTAGAAGAAATATCATGGTTTACATGCTATTTCACAGGTTGACGTAGGTCAATTTCTTTACTTTGTTTAAATGATGCTTGCTCGCTAAAGGAAAAGAGAAATAAAGGAGATCTCCGGAATCACATTTTAAATTTTGTTTGGTAAGGCTATCATACCCAATTAAATTGTATTTGATATTTGTAGTTGGAGCTTGTGTGGCCGAGCCTTAACAATTTGCAAAATATGCAAAAATTTTTTAAATTTTGTGATCTCGTAAAAATTTTTTTTATTTCTTAATTGCGAAAATTTGCTTTTATTTTAAGTTTTTTATAAGGAATTAATATAAAATCCTCGCTTTAAAATGATTCCCTTGAATGAAAGTCTAATTATCCAATTTATGAATATGAAAGTTCCGCGTGCTACTGAACAGATCTAAAACAGTCGCTATAAAAAAAAAAAAGCCCGATTCCACTGTTCAAATATATTCGACATGGTAGGCCTTTATCGTATACTTTATAAGAAATTTTCTACAAGGGCGCTTTTTTCAATTAAGATCTAGACTGATTTGCTCAGAGGGAATAATGCACTTACAGGCACAGTGGCTTATGAAAAAATGAGTTGGTTCAATGACTTTCAGCCATGGCACTGGATCGAAGGGCTCAGAAGTCTTATTTTAACCAGTAAAGTGAGTTAAATGTAAAATGAGTCAGCGATGGTGCCAGCAGTCAAAAGAAGAATTCAAATAAAAATTCAAATGAATTTCAAAGGAAAATACAAAAAGATTTATAAGTAAATAAGAAAATACAAATTTCTTAAATTACTATATTTTCCGCAACGACAAATGAAAACAATTGGTAAAAAAAAGATTTGTAATTTTCTAATTCTTAAAATTTTATATAATAGCTTACAATGATCTTTTCTCATTGATCCACGTCCAAATGGAAGATGATCGAGGATCGCCAGCCGAAAGACATAATAAATCGAACTTGATTCTTTCGACTTCCGAATCTAATAAAAACGTCCGAAAACGAGCCGAACATGAATGATATGCGATGAAACGAAGAAAAAAATCGTTAAATTCAAATGCAGTTGGAAACTGCTCCAAAACCTTCAATAAAGTAATTTAAACAAAAAACAAACCATTTAAAAGCAATATATAGTGAACAACAAAATATTATGAACAAATTATTATAGTTATCAGCGATTTAACATAGAAAAAAGTTAACCTGGTGGACTGCATCAAGAAACATTAGGAAAACGGGAGCGATACCGCTGCCTTGAGAAGTTTGGGAATGATTTGCACGATATGAGAAGCGATGCCCGAAAGCAAGCCATTCCTTTTCTATCAAAACGCGAAAGCCATCGAAGGTCCTACGAAAATTTTGATATTTGTGCAAATGATATTCAACTAACGCTTAAGACAAAAAAAAAAATAACACCTGTAATATGGATCCAAAAATAACTGTGCTAATGAGATAATCTGACAAGTCGCATCCCAGCCGTTTTCTAGGCAAATGGCCACGGATGAATGTTGCACGTCTATCATTTCAGCAATGGCATTTGATAAAGTAAGTATACAGGAAACCTTAATTTTAAGAAGAAAAATGAATATGAAACAAACAAAACAACTCTGCACAAACAAAATTTTGATAAAAACAAAAAATACAGTTTTTCGCATGTTTAAAACTAAGATAAACTTTATAATAGAAATTTTTACAAATTACCATTTGTAACCAACTTGCATCATCCAATAACCTAAAAAATGATAAAGACTGGTCACTAGCAGCTGGCCAACTTGGACATACAGCTCTTAAGAATTTCTTGAAGGCGATTTTGATATCATGAGCAGTTGGAAATGTAACAGGAATAAATTCACAATTTTTGTCAAGTTTAAGTACCTAAATTAAAGAGCGAAAACAATAAAAATCAAATAATAAACGAAAAATTACAAAAACAACTAAGATATAAAATTAAATAATCGTTTCACAACTAATAGAAAAATTTTCACGATTAAAGTTATTAATAAATAATAATTGTTACCAACTTTCGATTGATTAGAATCACCAAAAATGTAGAGAGGACATCGAGTTAATATCAGCGACTGTTTCAGTTCACGTGCCTTTGCGATAGCTACTGCACGCAATGCATAATGTGGAATTTGTTCACCAGATAAGCTGCCAGAATAATCACTCATCGCTATAAAAAAAATTTTAAATAGATTAAAAAATTATATTTTGAGCCAAAGTCAAAATAAAACCTTGACTTCCTTGGCTTGTGGATTTACCACTAGTTCCACGAACGAAGTTGACTGCATGACGAGTAAAATCATTCTGATATCTTTTATTCAAATCTCCACTAGATGTTGTTGAACGATTGTCGCAAGTCATCAGTGAATCGAGAGAAAGCAATGATTCTATCGATTGTGAAAGTAGTAATCGACCATCTTGATTTCTCTCAGAAGGCGAAAGTAAAGCGAATATAGACATATATTGCTCCTAAATAAGCGACTTAAAAATGTTCAATGTTCAACAAATTTCTGCTGCTAATAAAATAATTACAGTTTGTATAGTTATAAATGACAAACAAATAAAATTATCAATTCATTAAAAAATACACATGGAATAGAGTTACTTGAAAAAATATAAGTTATAATGTTGCCGATCAAGGGATACAGAAAGCAAAATCTTTAGTAGAGATATTTAATCGATAAAATACCTGTAGATCGATATTACTTGGAGAGGAAAAATCATGAGAGGTTAAAGGATCAAATACATCAGCCGCAGAAGGCAATATATGACTATCCATGGTGTTACGTAAATTGGCCTGCTTTTTGAATCGTGATACCATGGTTTGCGACGTTAGACCTGCTCCACGAATTAACAGTGCACCAACTTCACTCTTCCAAGTTATAACTGGGAAACGACCGTGTTTAAACCCTTTGCTTATTTTCGTAAAATATTCATCATTCACACTATTTGGCACCACAATGATATGAGGATATCTACAAATTAGATAGTTATGTGAATAAAGTTGCGATTACGAAAGAAATTTATGATAAATTTAAGCCAATTTGGAAAAATAATATGAATAATGAAGCAATGAAAAATGATTTAAACAAATCTATAAAAAATTGACCCTTTTGATAGGTCATAGCGCTTGTTGGCAAGCGACAGCCGAAAAATACCATGATTTAACCCAATGCGATCATAATCAATTAAATAATGATGATGTAGACTAGCAGTCGATGGATCAATCAAACCTAAAAAAAAGAAATGAAAAAAATACGGAAGAAAGCATAAAAATCAAAAGTCGAAAAACTTCAAATAATTTGAAATATCTCAATAATCTGATAAGGAAGATCGACCAGGAAGAACTTTTACCATAATCAGAAACAGAAGAATTCCAAGAAGCTGGCATAGTTTCGATATTATTTTTGAATTGCAAAGTCTTTCGTGGGGTTCGAAAACGCTTTTTGTCTTTAAGTGGATTTCGTAAAAATGTCCTTTTAAGTTCACTGCAAATAAATTCGTTACAAACAAAAAAAAAATAATTATGAAAAAAATGAAGTGAATTTCCGAAACGAATGATTTTCAAAAGATCGAAGTGAATTATCCGAATCTATCAAGGAATCGAAGCCAAGAAATATTAAAATCACTTCTAAAAACCCAAACGTCTATAAATTTCACCTCATAGTTCCATACTTATGCTTTGTAGATACGTTACTAACTGCCGTAGGTAGAAATGCTGAAAAAGCAAAAAGAATGTGTGGATGTGTTTCGGGCCAACGAAGAGAAAGAACGGTTTCAGTGAACTCTTCTGCCTTTTGACTGGACACTTCTTCATCGAATGCGACTTTCATCAGCTGAAATCACATTTTTCAAACAATCATACTTCAAGAAAATTAAAAAAAAGGAGTAAGTAATCTATTGAACTAGACCTGAAATGTAGAGCTACGTATCTGAATAACATCATGAAGTTGATGTGCAACTCGCACAGGAATACCATCCAATTGCGAAGAATTCTGAATAGCTTGTTCACCAATCTGTTTTTCTTTAACTAAGGAAGCTATCGGCATTGTTCGAATAACAGTTTGTTCAGATACTAAAAATGACCAGCGTTACAAGAGTCAAAAATAGGTATAAACAACAATGACTAAAATAATTGAAATCGAAAACGAAAATCTTACAAAGTGGGTCACAAGGTTGGCCTTTGAAAATTACACGGTAATTTGTTAAGAAAATAGCCCCCTCTGCGGGCAAAAGATTTTGTATTGATTCTCCTTGTATGTTTTCTGATCTGCCATCATTCAACAAAAAAACGCGTAAGCCATTAATTACTATTCGTTCAGCCGGGAACAGTAGCGCTGGTTGCATTAATTTTATCTGAATTAGCGCAGATAAAGAATAAAAGAATAAAAAAAAGATCTTAATCTTCTTGAAAAATCTTAAAAAACTTTGCAAAATTAAAAAACCTTCTGCAAAGGAGAAAGCCTTTTACTTTCCATATAAACTTGCTCAAGATTATCAATATGAAGAGCGACAAATCCAGGTATTTCACGGCAAAGACGTTCTATCTGCTGAAGTTCCAATCCAGCAGCAGAGCAAATTCTATCGATCAACCTTTAAGAAAATTATAATACTATAATTAAATTATAATATTATCACTAATTCTATTCACAATTTATTACCAAAACATATACAAGAGTTATATACAATATATAAGCGCAGAGACAGCGAAGAGGATCAATGCGAGCGATTAATAGGGAATACAAAAGCAAATTTTCGAATCGCAGTAACAAGATAATATAATCTTGAATTAATGGAACTTTACAGTACGAAAGGAATTATCTTAAAAGTCTGAAGGAACTTTGGATGAAAATAAGAATTGCATCCACATTAACTGATAAACGGACATCAATTTCATTTTCATAGGGAAAAAAAGAAGCTACTTTTTCATAACTGGAGATATAAATCAGGTGTTGTAAAAATCAACTCTGCATATAATATCTTAGACCACAGATAATCCGAAGAGATTGTAGGAAAATCAGAAAGTATTCGGAAGAACGTTACGAACGGAAAACATACTGTACAGAACCCTCAAGCTCTCAGGAAGGCTGAAGATGATACTACCCACATGTTCGTGAAAAAGGAATATTTTTAAAATTATATAATCAAAATTTTTAAAAAAAGAAAAAATTAAAATTAAGCGAAAAAAATGGTGAATGACCGTTTCTTTTATCTGACAGAAGTGGAAAAAATTTTTAGTGCCTTTTAAAAAATGGATCGCACTATCAATCGAATAACTGAATTATCAATAATTGAAGGATCAATATTATCAATACAGATGAACAGAAAAAATGAAGAAAAAATTCACCTACTGATCCATCTAACGGTGGAATTTCCGAGATCACTCGAATCAGCTTCAATAAACCCACTTTCAACATCACTCGCACTCTCCGTAGAATCGGTTTCTTCATCATCATCGACTTTACTTATTTGTCTATTGCTTCGTCTTTCTAACTCTCGTGTATTTACACTTCTTAGTTTAGAAACATCCAGTGGAGTTCTCATGTACACCATCAGATTAATATAATGCTTAGCCTTCAACAAAAGCTTAAAAACTAAAAAATTGAGTAACAAACATCTATAAACAAAAGTGACAGAAAAAATTCAATTATAAACAGCTTAAAATCCAAATAAAAAATAAAAAAAGCACTTTTTTTAATAGAAATTTTAATAGAAATAGAAATACGCTTAGTAAAAATATTATATAAATAATATTAATTAAAATATTAAATATTATTTTATAGAAAACCATTAACTTGTCCATAAACTATAGAATTTTCTTCAATAGCCTTTTGTTTCAACTGCATTTCATTAAAATGCGTAATATTCGCCAAAATTTCGCTAGCCAGTTCTAATCCTGATGGCCTTTCCATTAGATTCCAGGTATCGGTTATATGCTAAATTAATTGATATATGATAAAATCAATAATCCAATATCCTTTTAATGATAATGATTTTTTAATAAACCTCTTTTAAGGGAAAAGGACAATCACAATCTTCTTTTCGTGGCAAATAAAGTCGACGTAATTGTCTATGCACATCATGAAAAAAAGCTGCTTCCCAGAATTGCTGATTATCCCAAACAAAATGATCCTGTATGCAGGTATATGCAAATTGATGAACACCAGCGCTCAGTCGCTAAAACTACATTGTCTTGATGATCCTTTTAAAATTATATGGTATTATAGAATGCTTTCATTTCAAAAGAAAAAATTCGCTTGCTGAAACTAATTGAAATATTTAAAAAAGCAAACTCGACAATACATATTCGACAAGTACAGCATTGCATAGGCTATGCCATGTTCATCTTCCTTCGATTCTTGCTAAAATAAAATGCTTGGAAAATTACTGAAATAATTGATTTCTAGGGCCATAAACAAAAATTGAAGTAAAATGGGCATAAATTCCTTTAAAAAAATATGGAAAAAATAATGTAAGATATAATATAATAAAATATAATAATATAATAAAATAATAATATTTGCAAAAATATAAAATTTAAAATAAAATTTACACTTAAAGCGCAATTGATTAGACGAACAACTAATTCAAACTGTTGAGGCATTAAAACTGCACGATTAGCTGAAGTGATATTTGCCCATAAAAGCTGACAAAGTGCAACTCTTGCATTTACACTTCTCATAGATAATTCAACAGCACATAACATCTGAAAATATCCACAATTTATATGATTCAAGTGAAATTTCGTTTCTTTAATTTCATTTTTGATATTGTACTAATTCAAATCTTTACCTTTCTGGCATCGGATAGTTTCATATCGAATATATGGCGCAGACATCCACTAAGAACCTGCAAACGTCTTGAGACCACACCAAGGCGTTCCGATTCTACATTAAAGATTCTTGGGCTAGGGACCTTCCGAGGATGAGAATAGGAACCGCATAAAGGAAGAGCTTTATTAAGATTTTCTTCGATTAATGATGTTACCTGAAAGCATTAGATTTCTAAATTCCGGATTTAATTCCGGAACATAAGAAACATATTCAAGCATGAAAAATATAAGATCAGAGCAATTACAAGAAACTACTAACTTTTTACCAAAATTATCTGCGAAATCCATAAATCATAATAAAATAAAGAAAAATACGAAAAATCTGAAAAAATAGAAAAACCTTTACAAAAATTTTATAAAAGTTTTTTTTATCCTAACTTTTATAAAATTTTTTCTTGATTCCCATAAATGAATTTTTCTAAATTTGTAATTTTGTAATTCTCAGTAACCTTATTTTCAGCAATATTTCTCAATTTTGTAACTGCGGTTGGTACAGAGAAACATCTATTATTCAAAAATGAACCAACGGAATATGACGAATCCTGGTATTCCTAAATACGATTTATATTTCAAATAAATGAAACAAAACAAACTGTAATAAACTAAAAGATGAACATAAAAATGTATAAATGAATATTTGATTCAAATTATCAAAAATAACCAAAACTTTGTTTAAAAGTTCAATAAAATATTTATACATAAAAACCAACATTCTCCAACAATTTCTCGGTAATATCTAAAACATTTTCCATTAACACCACTTTCGACGGGTTTTCACAAAACGATAGGTGATTGACCAGCTGCATAAAAATTTTTGAAATATTTTTTATCGACATAAAAATTTAACTTTTTGTTCAATTCAATTAAAAATTATTAATATTCCATATTAAATTATGGAAAAAATTCAAAATATTTGGAACAATTAACGTCAAAAATCATCAAACATTAACATCATCAAACAGATCGCAGATTCTAAAAGGCAGTCCACGTTCCGAAATAAATGACTGGAATAAAAGACTATCAAGAAAAGTACGAATCAAAGAAGATGATGAAAAATCTCGAGCGCCTAAAAATGCTGATTTATGAAAGACAATAAGTGGAGATGAATGAAGTCGAACAACTTCCAGAGCACATCGGTAACCACGAGTTATATCAACGAAAAATCGTAAAAAGCATGCACGAATACGCTTATCCTGAAATATTGAAAAAGCAGTTAAAAACCAAAAAGAAATTGTTTTAAATTTTTTATATTCAAAATTATGGAATTTTTTATTTCACTGCTCGATTAAATAAATGAGGAACTAATAAAATAAATCATGAATAGCAAATAATCTTATGAATAAAATACCTGCACTTCATTTGTGGGAAATGGAGGTTGCCCGACTTTCCATGAATTATCGGCAGTTGTTAAAGTAGGGAATAAAACCTTAAATGGAATTTTTCATTTCTCCAGGTCATCATTTATAGTTCAAATTGCATAACTGGATATTAAGAAATTATTTTATTTTATTATCGAAAGAATATTTTTTAAAAGAAAACTTTTAATTTTATGAAGAGAAAAATGAGAAAAATTAAAGACCATCTGTAATGAATGAATAAGACGTTGTTGATATGGTTGAGGTAAACATGGAATTACGATTGAAGGTGGAACATGAACAGCTCCAACATCTAAATCCACAACTATTGCATCTAAATCGGTACAGCGTATTCGAAAACTATCCAAAATTCCCATTATATATGGTGTTGGACTTTCCAGATATTCTATTAATAATTCTGGCAGAATAGGAACATAAGTATATCTAAATAAATATGATTATTTCTTCAGAGAAAAGCGCAAATAAGAATTCAAAATTTCCGCAATTACCAAATCGCTTTTTTTTATTATTTAAAGTGGAGAAAGAAATGAGAACGGACAATGGATAATGAGTTTCGATTTATAGCAATCTTATAGTTATAAAATATAAAGTAAAAATTATAAAGTAAAAATTAAGTTAAGTTACTAGAAGAAGGAAGTTATTAGAAAGAATAACGCAAAAAGAGTCTTTTACGGCAATAAAAAGAGTAATAAGAAGCTTACGGATATTCAAATGGATATAAAAGAGACCGCAAAGCGAAACAACTATCTGATAACAATGACAAAGAACTCGACCGAAATAAAATTTTATGATCAGTCATCACAGCGCACAACAGAGTTATAACATTGTGAATTGTGCCTGAAAGTTCAAACGATTTTCACAAACATCTATTTAATGTTTTCTTGAATTAATAAATTAATTTTGTGAGGAAAAAAAATTTAATTAATAATAATTGGAATGATTAACCCATATGACGAATGAATGACACGACTTTATCAGAAGAGACAGGAACTGTTGGTGATAAAGGAGCACGAACACAGTAACGCTCATTATTTAGACAAAAAGAGACAGCAGGTGCTCCATAGGCAAGATTTATGGAACTGAGTAATGTTGCAATCATAGATTCCACATCAGTTTTTGAATCGATCAAAGCGACATGAATTTGATTCAAGCAATGCTAAACTAATAGGATTAGAATCAAAATACAGTAAATTTTTATAATTTAGGTTTGCAGAATTAATAGGAAGAGCCGATTCTTGTACTCTTATGGCAGTAAACTTATTAAAATAGGGTGATAGTGAAGAAATCACTGTAATAACTCTATCCAAAACAGTCAGTTTTTATGTTTAATTCTGACGACTGACTATTTAATTATCTGATTACATTGAAATTTATCTCATAACAATTCAGACATAAATTAAAACAGTCGAAAATTTCATGAAAATAAAATGAAAAACAAACCCGAAATAGATCGAAAAACGGAAAACGTGAAAGAATGACAATAACTTTAGGAGCGAATAAATTTGAAGTACCAAAAGAACTATCATCCAGTTCATCATCCACATTTCCATATGGTTCATAAACCTATATCGAAAATTTTTAAAGAGAAAAAAAAATCAAAAATACATTTTAGAAAAGAAATTTTAATAAAAAATAAAAAAAGACCTGAAGGCAACAAGAATATTGACGTGATCCGAGGATATCGGTTAAAGTATTAACAAAAAAACTGGGCGATTTAGCATCGGATTGTAGAGACCAACCTTGAGGTCGAGAAAACTACAAAAAATAATGATGCAAGAAACAAATAAATCAAAAAACATTGTTAAAATAATAAACATAAAGTGTGAAAATAATTGTATAAAATAACAGAAAAACAAACCACTTCAAGACTTGATGATAAAGAAATATTTGGCCAATCTTCGACAGGAAATCTCTGAAGTATACTTCCAACGCTATTACCATGACCTTTATGAAAAATATCAAAGCTATACAAATAGTAAAGACAAAAAAGATATTTATTGCAGTAAATTTGAAAGAACATCTATTTTCGAAAAATTAAGAAAGAAAATATTGGTAATAAATTTAAATTGTTTTAAATTAACAACTGATTCAACATTCAGTTATAAATTTTAACAATATGCATGATAATATCAAATTGTGAATGTACAAAGGAAAGAAAGAAAAAAATTTAAAAAAAAATCTAGATTTGCATTGAAACCTTCGTTAACTCGCAAAAAAACCTCGTCAAATCTTGCTCAATATTACACAATACTTTTCTTAAAAACCGGTCGCATTCTTTCGCTATAATTCATTTATAATATAGTCTTAAGCCCTTTCTTAATTTATTAATTTAACCTCCTCAGATTTAACTATAACAATACATTCACTTCCATTCTATTCGCAAATACCCGACAAAACTTGCAGCACATTTTCATCATGTGTAATGGTACAAACTGTAGATTGTAGAAGCAAAAAAGATCAACGGAGTAAAGCTGGGAGACATCAAGAGAAAATAGTGGAGATTTGGTGAGTGTTAAAAGTGTAATAGGATATTCATAATATTCGTATCGGTGCTAAAGGAACGGAGCAACAAGGATTAAACTTATATTCTATCCGTAGGACAAACCTTTTCAACTGAATTGATAAATAATTCACAAATTCTACAGAATTGTAAAAAATTAAAATCAATCCGTTCGTTTTTAATTTAAACGTATAGCAATATCTTAAAATTCATTATAATTTTGAACAAATACTTAAAAGTTTAAAAAAAAAAACTAACGAGCTTGAGATTGATCGTATGCAATAATAACAAAATAATCAACCAGACGATCATTGGATTCACCATTTTTCATTGAAAATTCACCAGTTCTTATCGAAGACTCGCCACTGCCTACCATTGATTCTTCTCCTCTCATCGCAGGTTTATCCCTTTTTATCACCACATCAACATCCCTTCTGAGTACCAGATCACAACTAGACCTTACCGTCGAATCAGCATCCCTTCTTATTAATGAACCAACATCTCCAGTCTCATTCATTTCATCTTCATTCCTCATGCATAGAGCATCTATAAAACTGTATTAATCAGTTAAAATCAACCGAAGTCAAATCAACAGTATTGAACTTGTGAGTTATCTTTTCTGCACACTTCAGTGCCTCTTTGCTTTCCTTTCTTCAATCCTTCCTCTTCATTCCTTTCGACACATTCATGTTTTTCATTCTCTCTCCCAGATCTCTTCAAAACTTTTTCTCATTGATACCCCCCATATCACCAGCTTGGATAACTCATAAGTATCGACGCAATTGATCACTAATACAATATTATTGCCACAAAAAACCTACAAAACTTGGTCTCACGAAATATTTTCAATTGTTTCAAAATTAATTTAAAGAATTATCAAATGTGGAATAATCGAAAAATGTGGAATATAGTGGAAATAAACATAAAGTTCGCACCATTTATGCGATGAGTTCTTAATGGCATATTTCTATAGAAGAGTCCGAACTGAAGCTCGGGACCAAGCTAGGCACTCGGCCATCGCACCTCCACATAAGTTGACTACCGCAGTGAAGTTCACTTAATTTGCAAGCAAAGAGATTTGAGTGATAGAATGTTGCAGTTCTTTGTTGCTCTCATTTACAGCGCCAGTGCTGGCGTTCAATTCTCAGCGAAAGTGAACTCATCGTTCACAAATGCCTGCGGTGTTCATTCGCCACGTGACTTTCACGCAAAATTTTACAAAAGCTTCAACCAATCAGCGAAGCCGAAAATAGAAAAAAGCTCTTTGAAGAAGAAAAAATTGAGAGGACGCGGAGTTTTACTGAGAATTTTGAATATCGCTAAATATCGCTATTTTAATATAAAAATAATATATAGCAAAATAAATTTAAAAAATTGCCATTTAAATTAAATTTTATAATTTTATTCGAAAAAAAGGAATTATTAGCTGAATGGAAAATAAATTCGCATTCGCAAAAAAATTAAAAGCATAAATTTAAAAAAAAAATTAAAAAATACTCTGAAAATGGAAGAGCACTACTAACTATCGGACGGAAGTAAACGACAGCTGATTTCAAATTTATTTGAAATTATTTTTTTTTTGTTTTTTAAATTATTTATTTTTATTAATTGTTTATTTTTTTCAGTTTTCATCTTTTTTATTTGCAAAATTTATGGAAAATTACAAAACCGCAGAGTTTTTAATCTCATTTTTTATTTATTCTTTAATTGGAATAAAGCAAAAATTAATTTTCAGCCAATTTGCAAAAATGTTTTATAAATATTTTCTGTTATTTAATTTATTAAATAAAATAAAATCGGAATATTTGGAGGTTTTCTTTCCTTTTCATTTTTATATTTTTGCTATTTTTAAGGTTCATTATTTTTTCATTTATTTTTTTAAGCGAAATTTATTTATTTAAATTTATTTCCTGATTATTATTTTTTCTATAGGAATAATATAGAAATCGAAACAGAAATAATTAATAATAATAGTAATAAATAATAGAAATAATGATAGAAATAATAAAAATAGAAAGTTATTTTAACTTTTTAAATTATTTGGTAAATAAAATATTAAATTAAAAAAGATGGTACTTTCTCAATATCCTTGAAATGCCTTGGGACGAGACAAGAGGGGGCTGAGTAAAGAAGGCTTCTGCGAGTGGTTTGCTTATTTATTGAAAATTAAGGGCCATGTCTTGGCATTAAAAAATAAACAAATAAGAAGCAACCTAAAAAAAAATCTAACAGCTCTCACCATTATTGATTAGGCTGGCTCTGCTGGCTACAAAGGTAAGACTCCAAGGTGATCGGTCCGACGCCATGGCTATTAGTAATAGAAACCAATCCTTTTTCCATCGTCTAAATCCATATACCACTGGTCCTTCTATACGTTCAAAGTCTTTCTTGGCTGTATCAGTCCAGGTCTTGATTGGCCTTCCTCGCTTTTGACCATCAAGTTCGGCAAGTAAAGAAATACCTCCTGTGGTGGACGACGGAGAATGTACCCTAACCAGCGAAGGCAACGATCTATTATGGTACTGCTTATGCAAATGGTATTTGAACCAGGAGAATGCGATCATGTGAGATTTTATTAACTCGTAATCCGTAAAATATATCTTAGACATGAGTGATCAAAGGCTGATAACTTGATATCTTCCACTCTCATTGGTCATGTCTCGCAATCTCGCAATCTTTAACAAGATCTAGCAAATTGCAGCCATAGGGACGCGGTCTTTCGTTTTAATGGTCATTTCGCGACGGTTCCATAAAGGTTTCATCAACCGGAGATGCTGTCGTTATTTGGGTTACGATTTCAACCTTTGACATTTGGAACCTTCTTTATTTTTGCGCCGGTTCCTCCTCTGCGATTTATTCGATCCTATCCTTGCCCTCCACGCGTCAATGTTTATATGATCAATATTTTTATATTTAAATTATATAATTACAATATATTTTTTCATAATAATGAATGTTTATTTAGACAGAATATTATAATTACATGATCTAGTCCTTTGCATTTATAAATCGCAAATATTAAAAATATATAAGAAACCCATCGATTTTTTCTTTTTATTGAAGTTTTTGGTTACTTCCAGTTTATCTAATACGGCGTGGTACTTTGCATTTATACTAGTTATTCCCTCTTTTCATCGTTTCTTCTAGCCTTTCCATAGCACTCTTGTAAGTTTTTCGTTCTAAGTTCGTAGACCATATTATATAAGTTGGAAGCACCGATTTTTCAATTTATTTTTTTAAAATTAACTGGAGTTTTTAAAAAAATTATAAAATTTTGTTATTTTTTCAAGGGAAGTTTATCGAATAATAATTCTTGTTGGGGATATGAAAATTTCTGTTCATTTTCAAATAGTTATTCGGCGAATGAAATTATTTGCAGTAAATCAAATTCGTGGTTATTTTTTCGATTAATTTTCTTTAATAAAATTTTTCTTTTTTTTTCGAATTTTCGCTTTTTGGTTTTTTTTCGGAAGAATATTCATCTAAATTATGAAAAATTCAAGGTGATTTTATCATAAAATGTAATAATGTTGATTAAATAAAAGTGATTTTTATTTGCATTGAGAACTTTTTTCAATATGTTTAGAAATCGGGTCACTGCTTTGATTATATTTTGCAATAAATGAGGAGACCAGCAGCCATTAAAAATGAAACATGAGTGACATTTGTACGCCTATCTCCACTTATATTTCCAAGGGGCTCTCTGCTGAAATGGTCTTTTATAGGCTTTCTAATTAGTGGAGTTAGTCATACGATGCGTCCTGCGAAGCCAAATATTCAGGAAAATATAAAAATGGAAAGAAAAATAATGGTTTTAAGTCGAGAATTAAACTAAAATTTTCAAAATTAATTTGAATATTTCTTCAAACTTTGTTTTTTAGGGGAATAAAAGACAAAAATGAGCAAAAATTGACATTTTGGCGACAAGGTGATTTCGGGAAATTAAAGGAAATCTTGGATTCAGTTAAACCAATTTGCAGTTCATCCAGAGAAGTTCTTTTTGCTGAGATATATATTTTTCAGCTCATTTTTTTATTTTTACGGTTATAATAATCTTTTTCAACACAATTCTTTTGCTGTGTAATAAGACGCATTCCTTCTTCCATCATTTTGAGATCATATCGCTGAGTCGTCCATACGTCCAAAATTTTTCTTGACTATATCCGGTCATTCTTGATTGGTCCTTCTCATTTTTGATGCTCTCTATCACAGAACTTATTAAGTAGATATGTGTAATTTCTATGATGAACTGTGAAGAAAATGGCTTAACCAGTGTGTCTCACATATTGTGATATTATCATTTTACTCGCATTATCTCATTTTAAGATGTCCTTTTTTCCAAAATTAACAACAGAATTTAGATTTTATATTTTGAATTTTTTTTTTAAGAGTCCTCACCATTACTGGTTAAACTCGCTCCACTGGCTTGTCACATTAGACAATATGCCAGGGAATCCTTTGGCGATAGAAATATAGGTGAGTCACCAGCATCACCCGGATTTTTGTTTACTCCTGTGTGGAATAGAACCTCAGCACCGGCTCTCCAAATTGAACAACAACCCACTGAGCCATACTATCCCCATATTTGAATAATATTTATCAATTCTGCTTCTCATTTTATCTCATAATAAACGTGAAAGAACAATTTACTATTTAATTAATCTGAACAAAACTGAAGATTTTATCAAAATGTACAGAGAGTTCATACGGCTTCTTCTTAACTAAAATACTACATATTACTCTCTGAGGTATCGTAATTCAAGTGAAATAATTGAAGGACTCCAAAAATATTTCATACAGCGCCTCTCTCCTAATTTCAATCTTAATTATAAAAGAGAACTTCTACACTATAACCTGGATTCTCTCTCAGTTCGTCGTATAAAACAAGATTTAATTTAAGATTCTGTATGGTTATGTTAAACTAGATTATTCAAAATATTATAATTTTAGGCTGAATTTGCATCCAACAAGAATTAATAAACTAAATTCACTAAAAACTAAGGACTTATGACTTTTTTATTCGTACTATTAATTACTGAAATAAATTATCGAACGATATAGTTTGTTCGCCATCCCTAGTTATCTTTAAAAAAAAATTAGATAATATCATTTATGATATTTAAAAAGTTCACATCATGCAGGAAATCTCGATTTTTACCATCCGATTGTATGTAATACAATTTATTTCGAATTGTAATATATTACTAATTGTACTAATTGTACTATTTTATATTATTTCTTAATTTCCTCTTTATTTTCTCTTTAAATTGTTAATTTTTTATCATATTTCTTTTTTGTCATCTTTTTTGTCATCAATTCTTTTTTTTCTTTTTGTTATCAATTCTTATTATTTATTTTTGTCATCAATTCTTATCATTTTTTGTCATCAATTCTTATTATTTAATTTGTCATTTATTCTTATTACTTATTTTAGCTGTCTTTATTAATACAAGCACATAGCGTTTGTCGCCCTGATTGGATGGTTTTCAGTAAATAAATAACTAAAATCTCTTTGTTCCTACGTCTTATTACCTTTTTTGTTAACTTTTATATTTTCGACTCCTATGTAGTTAGGAAAATTTGTTTAATTTGTTAAATATTTGTTAATTAATTCAAATATTATATTATATTATTTTAGACTTTTTCTCCATAATTTTATTCAAAATTTTTGCAAATTAGTGTGATTTTAGGATGGATCGGCATTACAATGTTCAAAACATTTACGTTACTGTTTCGCTCGAAATATTTTTTTTGATTTCAAGAATTTGAATGCAAAACACTCAAAACGGTAGCGGTTTTTCATTTATTTTCCTACTGCATGAATTATTTCTTATATTTTAAAAATTGTTAAAGAAACCCTTCCTAATTATTATAAATAATAAGCACGTCAGATATTCCTCTATTCTTCATGCTTGCATGAACTTTTCGAATGAAAATTCTTCTTTTATTATTTCTGAATTAGTATTTAAATTATTAATTTAAATTATGAATGAATTTTTACAAGTAAAAAGCGTTCACTGCATTGAATTAATAATAATAAAATAAAAATAAAGAAGTAAAAAATCAGAGCGAAAAATTTTTGCGAATCTAATTGTGCTATATTTTTTAAGTTATCGCAACGATGTTATTCTCGATGGAGATGTCGGCGGTCGTTGTGATAAGAATTTTGACCGAAGTTTTTTATTGCGCAATGCAGATGAAAAAAGTTATTTGCAGAGCTGGTAAATCCTTTATTTTTATTTTTAAAGAAAATAATTATTAATTAGGAAAAATAAGAATATTTTCTTTAAATGAATTGAATTTATAGTGTATTTTTTTTTAAATGTAATTTTTCCAAAAATTTTCAAATTGTTCAAATGAGAAAATTCAATTATATCTATTTTTTATATTTTCTATTGTATAGTTTTTAACTGCAATGCAATAAATGAAGCAAAGAAAAGAAAAAGGAAGAACGGATAAAAAAAGTATTTGAAGCTTTAATTTAATTTCAGGGGAAGTGAACTTCAATATTTTAAATCATTTGATAATTTTATAGTGAATAAATTGAATTGCGATATAATATTGGTGAGACCAACAATACTGATAAAATTAGATTCACCAGTGAATATGTACCATCACTTTTGTGATTTTATAAATATTTATGCGAGTCAACATATTAATGGCTCATTTTCCAATGATATTAATATCGTATTTTGGGATACGGTTAGTTTTTTCTTTTTTTTCTTTTTTCATATAATTAATTTTTAAATAAAATAATAAAATTAAGTGGTCTGGCGGTTATAATGATTTATATTTTGGTGACACATGGAAAGTATTTACAATGAGACAACCTTATCAGCTTATATCTTTCAATGATAAAAAAGTTTGCTTCAAAAATGTTATTTTTTCATTATTAGCGCGGCAAAAATTTGGTTTATATTATAACATGCCATTGGTTCGTTTTTTTTTCAATTTTTTTCAGTAATTTAACAAATTTATCTTTAATTTTTGGCTTATATAAAGAATAGAAAAATTACATAGATTTTTAAATTTTGAATTCGTTTTTTATTTTCAATTTCGAAAAAAGCCTAAAATTTTATTAAATAGAATTAAAAGATTTATTTTTATAGATAGACGGTTGCAGTGGAAGTGGTTTGTTCAAATCATTCTCGCAACATATTCTGAACCGATTAAATATTTCACAAAATGGTCCATTGTTAGATAAAATTCGAATAACTTTATTAACACGAAGCACTGAATTTCGTCGAATTCTTAATGAAAATGAGGTAGATTAAATAATTGTTTTTATAAATTAATAAAAATTCAATTTTAATAAATTTTTTTAAATTTTATGTTTTGCATTCGATTCTTCGATTATTTTCTGCGAAAGTTGCATTGTTTATTTTTGCAAAGGTTTGTTGAATTGATTGAATTTTTTTGAATTGATCTTTAACGTATTTCCCGAATTTTTTTTAAAAACATTTTCAAGTCCAATTTGTTTCTTTAGAACTTTGGTTGCCACTTGTTTGCACTCCGATTGATGCATTTTCGACATCACTTTCATCAAGATTTTCCACTCGTTTTAATTCAATCGGAACGAGTACTGTCTAAATTTAATAAATTTTATTAAATTTTTATTAATAATAACTTGTTCAGTTTTTATAATTTGATGAATTTTCTATCTTGTGGCCTTTATTTCATAATATACGATATCGTTCCCAAAAGATCATACATGTGAGTTCCAGAAAAAATTAAGGTATTTAATCAATATGCATCAGCACAAGTTTACTGTGGGGATCTTCTGAAATAAGAATCGATGATTGTCAAAGTTGTTCTCCATTCTTCAATTATTCGCTAGACTGGATTATGGACATAACTTATCAGCATCTAATTGATGCATAGATCAGGTCATAGATTAGTATCATATTATAGCAACCATTAGATTCCAATAAATGTGAATGGGATTATATGCATTTACATATCAAATTGATTATACCATGAACAAAACAAAGCTCTTTTCGTCTTGTATACCAGAAGCTAGTAAAATATCTGTATTCACAGATGTATTATCGACTAAAGAAATATTATTTATTTTCGATGTGTTGGATTTTCTTTTTTCTTGGATATACCAAATGGTTAGAGAGAAAATGAAATTCCGTCTGGCCGAATTTTTCAATCGTCGTTTCATCATTAAAGCAAAAGTTGGCCTATCTACAGTGCGTTAATTCTGTGGAATTAAAAAACTATCATTCCTGCCTCCAATCTATGTATTTCTTGAATGGGGCCTCACGATTTCTTCTTCACGCAAACACCTTATGCACGAATGACATCGTCAAAGAACGTCACCAATGCTGTTTAATATTCTCATCAGATATCTCACTTAGCTGTGGTGAATGGCGTTAAGCGTGAGGAATTCCAATGAAATTCTGGGTTCTTTTCGATAGATTTTAAATGCGTGGACGAATCGGTGACATGTGGCCTTGGAGAAAAGTGGCTGTTACCTTGAAATGCGACATCTGATTAAGAGGCTTCATAGTCAATGAAGATGCTCAAATTATTCGTTATTATACTCGTTTTGAAATTCAATAGGTTGAAAAATTGATTCAACTAGTTCATCAATGGTATGTTGTCTCTTTCTCAGTTTGTTGCAAATATCTGGTTTCTTCTAATTTTCACATAGTTATTTTTTTCTTTTTGCCTGGATAAACACGTTACATTCCAAGAGGATAGAAGTTTTTTCTTTTTTTAGCGAAAAAATACCTGGTGTCCAATCGTTGGCTCCGTAAAAAAGTATCCTTTACTTATTTTATTTTTTTCTAATGAATATAAATTTTCAAATAATATTTTTAATATTCCTGCACAACAGAGACCTTAAAGATTTATAATATTATTTGCTAAATATATATATTTTAAGAATCATTGGAAGGAAACAAATGCTTTTGCTTTTAGAATTAATTGAACTGAAAATATCATTAGAAATTTAATAATATGAATTAGCGGATAAACCTTGAATTGGTGTAAGGATCATATGAAGACTGTACATTGCAATACGAGTATTTGATATAAGCCTATTGATTTTTAAAAGATTTTCCTAAATTCACAAAATATTTTTTGTTATAACTTATAGATAATGCTAAAAGTAAATTTAAAGTAAATTCAAAAAATTACTTCATAAAAGTACCATCCTTGTTTTCGAATATTTCTATCTTCTCCATAAATTAAATATGCCGTCCATACGAAAAGTCCTAACGAACATATAAAACAGATTGTCGTTTGAATTGTGCATAAAACCTAAGAATTCACAAATTTTGTTTAAATTATTTTGATTAAATAATTTATTACAAGTTAATCTTCCTAGACTAATAAGAAATATTAAATATTTTATTTATTTTTTAAAATTATTTTCAACTTTTTCTTATAAAATATTTTTTTATTTCACAATAATTTCAATTTTTTTATTTCATAATGTAAAATTTATCGCCAAAGTTTATTTGTTTTTAAAATCTAATTTCTAAATTAGTATAAAAAACGATTAAAGAATTAACCAAAAAAATTTTCGTTGATCTATATCGAATAAAATAAATAATAAATAATGCATTATACATAAAAATAATGCTTGATAAAATCGCTAAATAATAAGGGCAACCATCGTAAAAAATGCAGATCGTTGCAAATATTAACTAAAAATTTAATAGAAATTACAAAAAAATAATACTATTAAAAATCAATTGGCATGTAAAATATTAAAAATTAAACCAATTGTATGGCAGAAGCGAATGCAATCAGTGATAATGCGAGAAGTGTTCGGGCGTTGAAAAGTAATAATTGATTTGTTATCATTTGCTCGACCTCAAATTTTAATTTCTTCAATTTTTTTCCTTTCTTATAATATAAAAAATGATTTTATTAATTTTATTGTTCATTATGCAAATTATTTTTCAGGATAAATGAAAAAAAATGCTAAATTTACTGAATTTAGTTATAATGATGAGAAGTTGAGAAACTTTTATTTGCTTTTTATTAAAACTGTTTGTAGTTTTACAGTTTAAATTTTAAATAAATTTTAGATTTAAATTTTTTTTTGCTGTTTAAATTTTGAATCTTAAATTTTTTCGAAATTTTTTTTTGCTGTTTAAATTTTGAATCTTAAATTTTTTCGAAATTTTTTTTTGAACAAATAATTTGGCAAATTTAAGATTTATTAATGATGAAAGTATGATCTTAACTCAAACCAACCATAGAACAGCGCCCAACATTGCTGGCTGTGCTAGTTCTAGCTAAATTTCAACAGGGAATTCCGTGAACGTATAGAGCTGCAGATGGTCAATCTGGCTCGACTTTTCACTCCTATCAAGGGAGCAAGAATCGAGCCGCGCTGCTCTATACGAGCCCAAGTAAGCTTATCCACTAGACCACTTTGTTATCAGCAAAATGTTCAACTTTTCAGTTTTATGGATTATATGCTTAACACCTCATTATTTTTACAACAGTTGAACACTTTATGAGATTTTCGCCAATTGAAAAATAAGGTCATTTCGAATTTCTTTTTCTAATTTTGAATTTTGAAAAGCAAGGTTTTCTTAGTTTTGTTTTGATTCAAAAAATGATTTTTTTAGAATACTTTATTTTAGTAAAATAAAAAAATAGATTGTTAACATGAAATGATGGCGTATTTGCTGTACCCTTTGATGTTGAACTTTCCAGCATTAAATTTTGTATATTTATTGTTGTTCGAACTAAAATTAATTTGTGTTATTGTAATGTCCATTTACTATTAATAATCTTATTAATTTTATTAAATTTTTAATTATATTTTTAATTATATATCTTTTTTCCAATTTTGATAACGATTTTGGTGAAAATTGTGATTTTTATAATTTTTCTGGTAATAATATGCAATAAATAAATGAATGGTAAAAGCAGTATTAGCAATAATGGTTGATAAAAAATATTTCATTAAGTCATGCTAGTAATTAGTGGATAATAATAGTAAAAAATTAAAATAATAAAAAAGAAGAGGATTTCATCGTTATAAATAGTTGGTGGAGCCGTGCAGACTTCGAAATTATGGGCGCTATTAGAAAGTATTACCAGTAGATTTAGTAGTCGCTGTATCGGTATCAGATCCAATTGTTGTTATTGAACCAGTTGTGCGTTTTATTTGTGGATGCGCTTGAGAATGTTCAGGTTGAAATCCGTACGTATCGCGATAATACGTTGCCGGTGGAAACGATCCGATGGACTTAAATATTAGTGCATAAAAATTTTATGTTCACTTGACGTAATTCATTTTAAGAGATTTTTGTTGAATAATGATGGTGAGTTCAAATTAAAAATTTAAATGGTAATGGAAAAACTGGAAATAATTGTGATAAAAGTGATAAGCAGAATAAATTTCATAAATTTTTTATCAAATTTATCAAAATTTTTCGTGATTTTTTTTTGAGTTATAAATAATATAATATTACTTGATGATTTTTAACTGTGCGGTAAGGAATCGGTGCTGCCATTTGTAAATTTTTATAATTATTCTATTTCATTCCTTTTGGTTATCCTTTAAAAAGAAGATTTAAGTTTTTTTATTAATTAATCCAAAAGCAATTTTTATAAATGCTTTTAATTTAAAGATAATTTCAAATCTATCGTAAGTTGTTTTCACTTAAAATATAAATAATATCGAAAATAAATTTTTTAAAATTAGAGAGATTTTTTATTTTCGATTATAACTTTTAGAAACGATTATGTATTTGAAAACTTTTTCATTTATCTTTTTTATTTGTTTATTTTATTTATTTTTTACAATTTCAAAATTGTTTCATTTATTTTACATTTCATGTTCCACGAAAAAGAAGAAACAAAGACTTTTATTAGTTTAATTTTTCGAAAGGTTATTACAATAATTTAGACTGGAAGATTATAACTGTATTGGTAACTATAACTATAACGATTTTAACTAAACAATGATAAGTAATATTAATATTAATAAGTATTAATAATAATATTCGTCGCAATAGTAATAACAATAATAGAATGGTGAATTGACAATATAATAGGGGAATAAGGCGGACAGCTGATATCGTTATCGTTCGAATAAATAAATTCTATTGATTCGATTTTCCTCTTATAATTTCTTCATCGCTTCATTTTCTGTGTAAAATTTTTTATTTAAAGCAATAATTTCTTAAAATATACCAATCATTGTCTCATTCTTTTCTTAATTTTTAAAAATACTACTTTGTTTTCAGTTATTCGATGTCCTTAATGAAATTCCACAGATTATCGCACAAAAAGTTGATTATAATAGGTAAAAAAATGATTTTTCTAAATGCTTAAAACTGCCTAAAATTAAATTGAAACTTTTAAAAATCATATAAATTGTAAATGAATGCATGTAAATTAGCCATATTTTTATTGTTGCATCGAAATTTTAATATTTTTTATTGCATATTTTACAATTAAAAAATGGCTAACGCTCACCATTTCTGGTTTGGCTTGCTATGTTAGCCATTCGTATGGTGAGAATTGTTCACCATGGAGGCTCGTTTGGTGATAGAAATGTGAGTGAATCCTCAGCACTGCCCGAATTTTAACTGTCTTCAATTTTAATGCTGAAAGCGATAATCTAAGCAACATTCAATTTATTTACAGTTATTGCAGTTAATATATAAGCTGCAGGTTTCTAATTGTTATATTTTAGTGGTGTAACTTTTGTGAAGCAACTCGAGATCACATATAATAGCGATATATTAATTGGAATGCATGGAAGTGGCCTTACTCACCTTCTTTTTTTGCCTGACTGGGCGACAGTTTTTGAAATGTTAGTTCGATGTCGCTTGCAAATTGCTATTTCTTATTTTAGGTTGTCATCTTGGCTATCGTGAAAAATTACAGTTGTTCGTCATTCTTAACGCATTTGTCATATTTCTTATTCCCTTTATATATATATATATATCATTTAAAAAGTTATTTATAAGCTTGGGAATCAAAAATTAGAGTTCATTTAATAATTTCCTCGATTATTTCGTTTTTTTAAAAATTTTCGCGTTAATTCTATTCCGCCAAAGGATTTTTTTTATTACTTTTTCTTATTTATTATTTTAATAAATCTCTCAATATTACCAAATTTGAAGTCAATTTTATTGCCAAAGAAGTTTCAAATTTTGTTTTTCCTAAAATTTTTTATGTAAAGCAGTTAACTTTGCATTTATTTCAGTTATAATTGCGACGATGCGTTGTGCTATTCCGATTTGGCTCGTTTAAGAGGAATTAAATATTTCACTTGGAAAAATCTCGAGAAAATTCAGCAAGTTGGCCGTGGTGTTAGTCCAAATACGAATAATGAAAATAAAAAATTCGCGAATTATCGCTTTGATCGTACTGAATTTCGGCGTTTAATAAATCAAGTTTGATGTTTAAATTTTTAAACAATTACTTTCGAAAATATTTTTTTCTTCCTTAATTTGTTTACTATTTATTTGAATAAATTTATTCAATTATTATTATATTTTTCAGTCAAAAAAATCCACAAAAATCTTGTTTGTAATCTTTTTTCTTTGAAAATTTTCATGATAAATTCTTATTAAATTAATTTTCTCGCTATTTCATAGTTTTTTTCTTTTTTCATCGATTTTGTTTCATTAAAAAAGGCGAAAAAAAGATTAATTATATATAGCAAATCGAATATGTTCGAAGGAATTCGATATTTGTAAATGAAAGGAGAAGAAAAATTCGAAAAGAACGACGAGAATTATGATTTTATGGTTCAAAATTTATTTATTCTTTTATTTATTGCTCATTTATTTTTTATTTATTTTAATGGTTTCTTAACAAATGATAAATTTATTTCATAAATGCTTCTTGAAATAAATTCTCTTTCAGAATTTCAAAATAACATTTAACCACTTTAATAGAGATTTTTTTTCTGGAAATCTTTAAGTTGGCTTCTTGTCTTCTTTTTGCCTTGTTTTGTATCCGCTAAGGTCTTTTCTTAAACAAATGAAATTGCCAGTCCTTCTGCTCGCCCAAAAGTCTCCCATCAAAGCTTATTTTTATAAAGTAAAGCGGTTCGCATCAATCCATAAAGATTAGTCAAAATTATATGAATCGATGGTAAGTCGCTCTGGCAAATGACATTGGTTTTATCCCTGTAGTATTCATCTGCTTCAAATAGGCAAAGTTGATCAGTTTTGAAAAACTTAGATAAATGCCAATCATATTAAAATAAAGCCTTAACAGAACGAAGAGAAGAACTCTAAGAGAATTTTAATTTTCTTCACACCTTATCATTAAATTTGCGCATAGAGGGGAGCTGCATATTTTTAAAGTCTGAGGCTGAGATGACTGTTTGACGTTTTAGATTTCAAACAAGCCTGGGTTTTCTCATTTTCTACTGCTTAGGTTTTATTGAACTCGTGCAATGGATTGTTTAGAAGGTTCTCACGAATAAAGTCTAATCGTTTTCAGCTTTTGATGACAGAATTTTCGTTAATTCACGAAAAAAAGGATGATTAAATCTCCAAAATTTCCCTATATATAAATATAAATATTTATACAGACATGTGATTATTTCCGCTGGAAAAAAATGGAATTGATTTCAATTTATGAATTTAGATTAAACAAATTTTATCTTTGTCTGTTAAATTTTGCCGAAAAAGAAAAAATTCATTTCTTATAAATTTCATTTTGCTTAAATTTTTGCAAAAAAGAAAATTAAATACGATAAATGGATTTTCATTAAGATTATTTTAGAAATAAAATATATTTGAAAAAAAGGAAAAAAAGATGTGCTAAAAACATTTTTTTAAAATATTTTGTTTCAAAGATTATTAAAAAGATTTTAATAATTTTTTAGTCGAAAAATTTTTTTCCTTTTTTTGAGAAAAATCGCCATCAATTAATAATTAATTAATTATTTCCTCTCATAGATTTTTTCATTTATAAATATAAATTTATAAATATTTCTATTTGCTTACATTTTTTGTAGAATTTTTTCTTATTAATTATAGCATTTCAATAAATTATAATTATAATTATAAAATTATTATAATAATAATTTCAATATATTTCAATAAATTTCCATTTCAGAGTTATAAACTCGAACGGTATAAGTGTCGCTTCGATAAAGCTCAAGCAGTACGGAATAGAATAAATCTATCTCTGAATATGAAATCCCTTTCGTTTGTTTCGAAATCCTAAATCCTTCTATTTTTGAAAATGAAATCCTCGTTTGTTTGGAATAAATCTATCATTAAAGTGGCAGTTCAGAATCCGCCTCTATGCATCAAAGTTTTGATAAGTATGATTTGATAATACACCTTCAAATGCTTTAAAATATATTAAATACTTTAAATTTTTGAAAGCATTTCGTCTTCTCATTTTAAATTATTCACCAAGAAAAAATCTTCGAAGATTCTTTTATGAAATTTCGCTATTTTATTAGTCGAAGAATGCAACTTTAAACCTCAAAATGCAATTCAATAAAATTATATATATTGAATGTTAATTGAAACATAAAGTATTGCATCTGTTAAATAAATTTTTCGGGAATTTTCGAAAAACTAATTCCGAATAAAATTCCGAATTTTAAATGTGAAATTATGAAACGATAATTGAACTTTGCATAAAATAAATATTTTTATAAAACTTTTTATAAAATTCCTCGGTTAGGCGATTTTTTTTAGTAACGTAAACTTTCCGAATATCGAAATTTTTTTAAGCGATTATATCGAAAATCTCGACTCGATTATAAATTGAATTTGCCGATCTAGTTCACTCAATTATCGTCTTTTATTTGTGTGGAGAGATAGCTGCGAAATTTTATTGACATTCCTTTTCAAATTCTCTTCGTACATTTCAGTTTCTTGAATTTTGCCAGATTTTGAAAATTAGCACCGATGCGAAAAAAAGAAAATCATCAAAATCGAAAGGCCTTCAACCTGGAAGAAAATCTCAAATATCGCAAATCTTCCATTAAAAAACGATTTTCCACTTAAAAGGAATAATCTTTTTGCTAATTATTTCTCTAATCATCGCAATTTTCATGAATATCGCTCATTCATTCATTCGGATAATGAAATAAAATAATAAATATGAAGTGGAATGAATGAATTTCCATGGATCGGACTTTCATTTAAATTTATTGTTGCAAATTTCTTTTCAATTATTTTTATTTATCGTTTGTTAATACAGAAATTTTTTCGCCGAGTAAAAAGATTTCATTTATTTATCGCAAATTTAATATAAATACAAAAGAAATTATTGAAGGATTCAATAAATATTGCATCGAATAAATTTCGAATAAAAGAAGGAAAATTTTTTGCTAAAATTATTTTTAAATATGTGCAGATTTTATACTTTTTATATGTTGAAATTTAAAACTATTTCGTACCAAAAAACTTGGAAAACATTCGTTTCCATGACAAAAATAAACTTTAATCGCTAACGATTAGAGTTTTGAAAGTACCAAATTTTTGTATGTATTTTTAGAATTTAAAATTTTTAGCAAACATTTTCCCTTTATCGTTGAAAATTATTGTCAAATGCTTTTGACGAAAAATTTTAGACGCAAATCAGCTCATTGAATCACTTATCAAGAAGTTTTAACCTACAAAGTGCAATCAGTCTTCTCAGATTAATAAAAATTTGCAGGAAAAAAAGGATTAACGGAATTCGATCAAATGAGCTGAGCCAGCGATGATTAGAAACTTGAATATGACAGCAGTAGGCTTCATTTAATGGTTGTCCCTTTAATTTTGTATTCAAGTTTTAGCATAATTATGAAAATTTATGTGCTAAGTGAATCTTACTATCTCAAATCGCTCATTTCCATGGACCACTTGCTTATGCTTTGGCACAATGGTATTGAGGATCCATGAGCACTTTAACCTCATTTCCATGGACCACTTGTTTATGCTTTGGCACGATGGTATTGAGGATCGATCAGCACTTCAGTCTCATTTCTATGGACCACTTGTTTATGCTTTGGCACGATGGTATCCATCTGCACTGTTAACTCTCTTAAAAGCGATTCCCTTACGAAAAAGACCGCAGTTATTAATAATGTATGTTGTTAGAGGAAAGAAATGCCTTAGAATCAATTTACTTTATCTAAATCCATTAACTAATCACTCGTAATTTTTTTTTCAATCATTTTCCAATACCGTTTAATTAGTTAAATTTAATTTTATCTTACTGAATCGATTTTTGAATGATTTTATTCTCCTTTTCTTCTACATCTGTGGAACCGTTCTCATTTGCAATTTGTAATAACTGCCATTTCAACAATCCTGAAATCCTTGCGCAATCTTTGCGTATATGGCAATTCGATATCGATGATATCGATCCTATTACAATATAATAACGCTAATTTGCCAACGGTCATTCATCCATTTATATGATCGATTCCCTCCGAAGTATTTTTGAAATAGAATTTTCGATATGATCGCATATCATTAGCTAAATCGCTTGTCATAAGCAGATTTGATATTCCATATAAGGAAATCGTGAAACAGAAAAAAATTGTTCGAAATTCGAAAAAAGTGCTTAATTTTGAAATCCCATGACAATATAAGTGAAAAAAATTTTCGCCGATAAATTTATAAAATCTGATTCAAAAATATCATTTTTAAATTTAATTTTAGCATTTCTAATGAGATTTTTCATTTTTTCTTATCATTTCATCATCAATCCAACTGAAAAATCTCATTTTTTCATTTCTAATTCTAATAATAATTTCAAATTCTAATAATAATAATAATTTTTGCATTAAAAATGTTTCATTTTTTATTTTATTATAATTTTATTTTAAATAAACTGCGCAATTTCATTGTCGGCTTAGTCGCAAAATATTTTTTAGTTGTCATAAATTATAAATCACTAAAAAATTGAATTAAATAAATGCGAAAGGCAAAGAGCTCGGCTAATTTGATTTAAATAATGATTTTATTAGGTGAGAATTTCTCGGCATTCAATAATAAATGCTCGCTTGTTTCATTAAAACGCATCAATTTTTGATTTTGAAATTAATCCAAATCTGAAAAATTTTTTAATTTTTAATGAAATTTGATTCATGCAAATAGATGAAACTTGACTTGTGAGTATATTTTATTTCATTCAGCTGATTGCTTTATCAGTTAAATCAATTCATCCAGAAACATATTTTATTATATTACTGGAGACAATGGCCGGTGAGGCCTAAATTCTTCTGGAAGTCGTCGTTCGATTGGCTTTGATTTTTGACGTTCTTCGAGCCAAGAAAAAAGCAAATCTTCTAAATCTTCATTATCTAAGAACTAAGAAATCTTTAATCGGTTTCGAAAAAAGAAAAAAAATTGTCTGATGATTTTCTGCAATTTTTTATCTCAAGCATCACTGAAGAACTGAAGAAGACAATTTTAAAATGAAGATTTCATATTGAAAGATTCGACTTCTATTTAGAAAGAAAAATTAATTATTAAAAATAATTATTTGTTTGAGAAAAAAATTGAGACAAGAAATTTTTCTAATTATAAGAGAATTTTTTATAAGCAGCAAAACTTTATTATTATAGTAATTTGACAAATAAAACAAAATTTAAAAGCCACTTTTAAATGAAGGTAACAATTATTTGTGAATGTTTTCTGCACTATCTTTTGAAAACATTTATTTCTAACCGGGAATTTTAAAGTTTTATTTCCAACTGGAAATTTTCATGCAAATGAAATGAAAAATTCTAGGCTTTCTTCGATTACGTTAGATCGAAACGTGCTGCAAAAAAATTTTCACTCCACCTTATTATAAATATTAAATGATTGTCTTTTTATGGAGAAGTGCTTCGGTTGTCCAAGATCAATGCATCTGTGCAATTCTTGTCTTGAAAAAGAGCATCAAATTTTATATTTTATGTTTTCCATTATTTGAAAAAAACTTTCATTTTTTAAACTTTCATTAGATTGCTTATATAACTTATTAGGTTCGACCACATAATTTCGTTTATAGTTGCACCTTAGCGCAATTTGAAATCGGCAGCAACGATATGTCATGTCGATCGCGGTCTTCTCATTTGTGATAAAAGTAATATTGGTAATAAGTTCGGCCAGCTTTGGATCATACAGTTGGTGCAATATAATACACTTATAAAGTATTCGATCGTTCTTTACCAAGCTTATTTGCAGCCTATATTTTTTTTTGGGAGTCCTCACCATTACTGGTTAAACTCGTTCCACTGGCTTGTCACATTGGATAAATATGCCAGGGATAGAAATACAAGTCGCCAGCATCACCCTAGTTTTTGTACAGGCTTACTCCTGCGGAAATAAAACCTTAGTATCGGCGCTCCCAATTGTGCGGCTTCTATGCAAATGATAGAGTATAAAAATGGCTTCGCGACAGTTCACGGGTTTCACTTTTTTGATTTTCTCCATTATGCCTTTGCCTCGGTGGAAGCAAAACATTGTTCAACTCCATTCGTACCATATCTCTTTATATTTTTCTTTTTAATGTGAATTGATTAAAATTGAACTGAATGGGAGTTGCGACCTATCATACAAAAATACATCCTTGGCGACAATTTAAGATAACTTAATAAGATATGACGTGTTTAACTTTTTATGCAATAAAAAAATTGTTATCATATTAGGCCTATTGAAAGCCTTTTTAACAATCAGTCGCTTAAATCTCTATTGAATGATAATAACATCAAAACACGAATGGTGAAATATAACAGCCAATTTGCTTTTATTTTTGTCGGAACAGATGATTGATTACGGTTGGATCAGCAAATATGTTAACTACTTCAACTCCATTATATGGAACCGACGAGCCATTCATAATTATCGGTAAGCGTTTTTTCCTCGCATTATTTTCTCGCTTAAGTCTTTGAAATTTAGAATTCTTCATTTTCGAAAAAATAAGAACTTTTTGAGGATCAAAGTGCTTTGATTTATTTCATTCATTCATTAATTCATTTATCTATTAAAAATTAAACCAATTATGGAAAAAAATTGTCCTTATAACTGAATTAGAATTTGAGGAAATGCAGTATAAAATTAATTTGCAATTTGCAATAAGTTTTCAAATATTTGACGAATAATTTTAGCCAATAAATTTTAGATAATGAATTAGAAGAAAAAGCAACTCGCCAAACTTTACGATACATTTTCAGTATCGCATATTTCATTCTGTTCATATTTGGTACCATTGGAAACGGGTCAGTTGCCAGTTCTTTCAAGAAATATTTAAGATTATTCATGGCATATTTTATGAAATCCACTATTAAAAAAAATATAAGAATTTACTAATGATGTTGCAAATGCTTTTTAACGAATGGAATATTAAATATATATGAGAAAATCTTTCGAGATTTAAATATTTTGATTAATATCAATTAAAATTTGAAATATTTTATTTGAAATATTTTATTTCTTAATGAATGATAGTCTCTCGCGTAGTCGACTTGTCCCAACTCAAATTTAGCCTTCAGAAATCCGCTTTTAACTGGAAAAACTGCCCCTAACAATCTAAACCCAGAATTCCGAACTTCGGGCGCTTAAGACGATAATGCCTACAAGCGATAAGCGATATCAGTCATCCAGTCTATCGGATAGTTGAATATTGTAAGGGAAAGGACGCAGCCTTGACGGACACCAGTTCTGTTTTCCTTCAATGATAGAAGATCAATAAATAAATACACATCAATAAATGTATAAATAATTAAAATATAAAAAATCGAGCAATATTGAGAAATAATATTATGGAAGAGTTGCATTTAGGATAATCTAAAGCAGTTCTTTCAGATATGTAATAGTAATGATTGTTAATGTGATGACAGCAGTAAATAGATCGCGATTAAATTTTTCGAGTCGAATTCCGTCTTCTGCTACTAATCACGTTTTCATATATGTCCTTGGTTCTTTCTTTATTTATTACTTTATTCAGCCTTTTTTATTTTTATTTTATAATTTTATTATAATTTGTTTCCTTTTTATTTATTTAGATTTATTTATGTTATGCTTATCGAATTTCTTTCAATTAATTATTTCTGCTGAATTATTTTTCCAGCATTGGAAAGTTTTTCTTACTGCCGTGCATTAATGATATAGCAAAAAAATTTCTGACGTTAAGTCCTTATCAGTGGAATTTAGGCCTTTCAATCGTTGACCTTCTCGTCATTTTACATTTACCATTCTTAACAGCCGATCTCTTATATGGACAGTGGTTATTTGGTGGAATTATGTGCAAACTCTATTGGTTTGGTGAAAGTGTAAATAAACTTTTGAGTAGCTTCATAATGACCGTATTAAGTTGGGATCGCTATCTCGCAGTTTGCTCGCCGATCAAATCGATGAAGTAAATTTCCTTTACAGAAATTAAAAATCGAAAATTTTTTCTCAGCTTTGTGGTACCATTTTCCATAATCAAAAATTGGCGACTGTTGATTGTTTCATTAATCTCTCTATTATGTTGAATGCGAAGATACAAATGTCAAAATCTGAAGGCATTAAAATCTGCTAAAGAAATTATTATAAATATTGGAGTTATAAGATTAGATAAGAATTAAGTTTATCCAAAAAGCTTACACAATGGATTTAAACGACAATGACCATAAGAATGATGCCGTAAAAAGCAGAAACCACCTTCCTACGAAAATCGAAAATTTATTTTAATCTACCATCCATTCTCCAAGCGTACATATGTATTCAGCTGGAAAATAACCCAATTATCTAGCAGTAAAAAATAAGTCGCGCTTAGCGAAAATGGCAAAAATTCATGTTTTCAGAATGCGAAGTAATAAAGTTGCATGTTCGGTATTAATTCTATGTTCAGCCTTGGCCACATTACTGCTTTTGCCCGTCCTTATAGATGCCATGGTGGTACATGTCGATATACTCACCGGACAGCTTTTTACTAATGACAGCGCATTGCAAACAGGTAGTGTTTTTATGGATTTTGTCAAATTTAAGGTAATCGCTTTTAAACTTTGAAAGCTCTTCACGTTTAACATAAGTAAGTTTTCAAATTTTGAACTTTAAAATTATTTTAAATTATTTTCCTTCTTAATAGTTAAATTTAGTTAAATATTTCAGGTGAATATAGCACAAAATTAACGAAGTGCGTATTTGATGGTTCTTACTCAGCATTTATGTTTTATAGCTTTGCCTGCGGCTATTTATTTCCCGCACTTTTGATAATTTATTTTTATTCAAAAGTAAGCCGCAATTATCATTCATAATTATATTTATTAATAGAAAACAATCACTTCGCACGAAGAAAATTTCTTAATCAAATTTTTCGAACAAATTTTTAGGTGATAATAAAATTGCAAAAGAGTATGAAAAATTTTCGACGAAGAAGTTTGTATCTGAAGGAGCAAAATCATGTTAATACTCGCATTCATCAGGTTTTTACTTCTTAATTTTATTAACTAATGGAATAAAACTGTGCACCAACCTGTGCTTCTCCACCAAAACGACTCCTTGGTGAAAAACTCGCCCAGCAAATTCATCATAATAACTGAAGTTAACCAAACCGAGAATGGTGAGTGCTGTAAGAAAAAGAAGAAGAACTGATGGAAGAACAAATAATTCCACTAATTTAAAATTAATTATAAAATTATTTGCTTGCAATAATTTAAGATTAGTTGAAAATTTTGGAAATTAATTTCGATTATTAGAATCCATTATATTTATATTCACATTTACATTTTATGCATATGTGAATATAACGATATGAAACGATAAAAATTCTTAGAATACTTCAGGTAACGCTCAGAATTGTTTCAGTTATACTGTTTTATTTTTTTTGTTGGACTCCTCATTGGACTCTAAATCTTTTATCACATTTTTCACTCATTACGGTACCCTTTCATTTTGAATATTATTATTATTAGAAGGTAGAATGGCTCATTGATTTGTTGCTTTCATTTTGCTGATGCTGAGGTTCCACTTGTACCGGCAATAAACCTGTCTTTCAAAAATCCTGGTTATGACTCACCTGCACTATAAGGGATTCCCCAGCAAAATTTCGGGTACGACAAGCCATTGCAGCGAGTTTAGTTTGAAATGGTGAGGACTCAAAGAAAAAAAATTTTATTGTTAACGATAATTTTATTGTGATTAGCTGCGAAATAATAGCGATATATTTCCCGCACCTTTATAATTATCGAATTGTCTTTGATGGTGGAAATTTTCCAGCCATCTCACCATAGTCAAATTTTACCGCATCATTCATTTAATCATTCATTCATTGCATAAAAATTATTTGAATTATATTAGGAGAATTAGTTATTTCAGGTTACATGGTCGACATTAACCTTATCGTCGACATTTTTCGCAGCTCATTTACTTGTTTGCTTTAACTCAGCTGCAAATCCAATACTGTACGCTTTTATAAACCGAGAACTACGACAACAACATGTGCAAGCAATGCAAAAGCGAAGGCGTTCCATAACAACTGCAACAAATTTTGCTATGGATGTGATCAACAAACATACAATGTGAGATTTTCGTTTTCCATAATTATTCATCTTCTTCTAATAGCGTTGAGCATCAGTGGTTTAGCTAGATTTGCCAATAACTAAGTTGGGACCCATTTATTTAGTTATTGAAAACCAGCCAAGCAGAACGCAAACGCCATGTGCTTGTATTAATAACAATGGTTAAAATAACAAATAATAAGAGTTAATGATAAAAAAAAGAAGAAAATATGACAAAAAATTAACAATTTAAAGAAAAAATAAAGAGGAAATTACAAAATAATATAATATAGTACAATTCGAAATAACTAAAATCGGATGGTAAAAATCGAGGTTTCATACTTTCTGCATGATGTGAACTTTTAAAATAATATCATAAATAATATTATCTTATTTTTTTTTAAAGATAGCTAGGGATAGCGCACAAGCTATGTCGTTCGGTAAATTATTCCAGAAATTAATAGTATGAATAAAGAAATTATAAGTCCTTAGTTTAGTTTTACACATAGGATTTAGTAATTTTAGCCCATTAGTTCTTGTTAGATTTAAATTTAACCTAAAATTATATTTTGAACAATCTAATTTAACATAACCATACAAAATCTTATAAGTATAAATTAAATCTTATTTAGTACGACGAACTGACAGAGAATCCAGGTTATATTGTAGAAGTTTTCTTTTATAATTAAAATTGCAATTAGGAGAGAGGCGTCGTATAAAATATTTTTGGAGTCCTTCAATTATTTTACTTGATTTACGATATTTCGAGGAATAACATGTAGCATTGTAGTCAAGAAGTAGCAGAACGAACGCTTTGTACATTTTGATAAAAAAATTTTCAATTTTGTTTTTAAACGAACGAAAAATAAAATTTAGTATTTTTGAGGATTTCTTACTATGGTTCTGCAGTGAATGTCGAAATCGAGATTTTGATCCACGATTATACCAAGATCGGAAATGTGTGAGACTCTACTGATTATATTGCCATTAATAATAAGATTAGGAAAATTGGAACCTTTAGTATTGATATGAAGAACGCTTCATTTTTGAAAGGAAAGAGTAATTTGCCTGTCATATTGCCAGCTGGCTATTCTGTTGAGATCCTCCTCCTGTCGAGATAAGCTATCTGTTCTACCATGAGAATAAAAATTTTATAATCATCAGCATATAGATAAATAGTAGAATTTAGTACCACATTGATGATATCATTTATACATAATAAAAAAAGCAATGGCGCAATACAACCTTGGGAAACATCAGATTTAACAGGTGTTGTGTCAGAGAGAGTGTTATTGACGCGTACGGCCTGGTGACGATCTTTTATGCAATCTAACACCCAGTTATAAAGGGCCTTTGCAATGCCATAACTATTAAGAGTTGTAGTAATTTGCTATGGGAAACAGCATCAAAAACTTTAGCCAGATCTAGGTACGCAACTGATATTGTTTTTCCATTGTCAGCTGATGCTGGCCAATCGAAAGATTAGCCAATATTTGTAAAGTAGATTTTAGAAGTACAAAAGTCATGTTGATAAGGGGATATAAAATTATTGGCATCAAGATAATCAATTTGTTGCAAATCAACCTTTCAAGTACCTTGCTACCAACGCATGTTAGGCTAATAGCTCTATAATTATATTGTACAAGTTTTCTTTTATAATTAAAATTGCAATTAGGAGAGAGGCGCCGTATAAAATAAAATATTTGCCATGGAAATATAGTTGGATTCTTCATTTTTCCATTCTTAATGGCACTCCAGTCCTATATAAAGTTTGGAAATCAAATCCATAGTATTAATGGCTTATATAGTGCGGATACGGAATAATTTTCCACCATGCCAACTATATACGATGCATTGCGATATGTTCACTTTTTTTGCAAGAGATATATATGGGATATCAAAATGATTCGCCATTTGTTTGTAAATTCACTTGATAGTTTAGAATTTGCAGTATTAAACTGACAACAACCCTTTATCACCTATCATTGCTATCACTACTTTCATATTATTATAAAGCAAATCCATAAGGTGAAATGAAAATAGCCTTATGGCAAATTAATATAAAATGCTAATAGTTGGATATACTACTTCTTGTGTTTTCTTGCTTTTTATGCAAAATATGGAGCTTGTTCTCTTTTAATTTTATTAAAATCAACAGGATTATGCAAATTCGACGGACAAATCCGGTGATTGTTAATAATATCAACAATTTTCTGTTCTTCTTCCTTTCAAAATCCACCTGATTTCTTTTGAAATTGAGCAGTCCAACAGATTAATTTCTTCTAAAACTGCTGAGAATAATTGCTTTTTGTGTTTTGTTATGGCATTATTTTCATAAATTATATTACACTTGTAGGCTCGCAAAATGTGTTACAACACAGCCTCCGAAAAATGAGAAAGAATTTCATCGACAAAAGTATTTGTGCATTATTTTTAAAATCATTGATTGGGTGATCATGAAATGATTTTAATTTAACAAATGACTTAAATCAGCTTTAAATATTAATTCTTTGAAGGGAAATACTGCTAGACAAAATTCGCAAGTTAATATCACTCCATCTTCAGATAATAGCTTTTGTATTTTAATCATATTATATATAATCATAATTATGTAATCATATTTAATCATATTTTAATCTAATCATATTAAGGTGCTTGCTGACACTTCGAATTGAGAAATATCCTTCAAATTCATGCAGTTCACTTAGTAACCATTCTCAACAAAATGAATATAAGCAAGAAGGATGTTTGCATCTTATAGATTGTGAGAAAATTGATATCGATCAGCATGGATCATCTATCAAAACCGTTTCAAGTGATATTTTCAATTTTTATGAAGAAAATGGAGAAAGATCTTCAGATGAAATTAGTTCCAAGCCTGATGACCTATTACTATAACCCTTCTGATCGTTATACATTTGAACAATTAATGTCCGTCTTAACGCTTTTTGCGTTTAAATATGTTCAATGATCCTTATTCACTTTATTTTAAAATTTTGCAAAAACTAACGAATATAGATGTTGAATAAATAATATCGACACAAAATATTTGAAAATAATAATAAAATATATCTATCGAACATTCATCCTTAATATTGACACATCACGAAATAAAATAAAATTTTAACAGCACGTTTCTAAATTTTTATCAAAATAAATGGGAAAACTTGAAGCCAGATGAAAGAGTAACTAAGTGAGTTGTTGTTCAATTCGGAGCGCTTAAATCGAGGTTCTATTTTCCCTTCACGAGTAAACCTGCCCAAAAATCCGGGTGATGCTGGCGACTCACCTTCTATCGCCAAGGGATTCCCTGGCATATTTGTCCAGCGCAAAAAGCCAGCGAAGCGAGAGTCTAACCAGCAATGGCGAGGGATCTTTTAAAAAAATTTGAAGCCTAAGGCGCAATATACAAAAAAGGATTAAAACTTATAAAACTTATAAAAGATTTACGATTACGATTTAAAAGATTTATTTATCAAAAAGTTTACCGAAATATTGTAAGCAATCAAAGTCAGTCATCGAAGCTGTATCAATAAAATTATTATTAGTTTGAGTAATTACATCGTTACCTATATAAATCGATGTTTGTGTTTCCATATTCTTTAAAATTTCTTCAAAATTCAAAACCTCAATATGTGTTTCGGCATTTCGTTGGTTTATTCCATATTCTGATGTCACCATGTTGTCATTATTCGCACAATCACCATATAAATAATCATCTGGATGAATCTGTGTTGCCGATTCAACTCCATTTATTAATTTCGCTTGACAACAGGCGTTGTTCTGCTCATAATATTTATTCTGAACAAAAAATTGAATAGTTTATGTATTCAATTAGAGAGTTAAATTAAATTGTTTAAATTATAATAGGTAATAATAGGTTGCTACAAATAGAATATAATACGTTGCTACAAATTCTGAAATTTTACAATTATTTTTTAAGGCCAAAAACATGAAACTTACTGAGAAAGAATTAATGGAAGGAAGCGAGGCTTGCGAGCTAACATGACATAAGGAATTTGTGATATTTATATTTGCTAAAGTTGATGAGGTCATTACTGCTTTTGATGATAATTCATTATAATTTGATGAATCACTTTCAGTCTGCGTCGCAACGTTTGCAGTCATCCTAAACAGGAAAATGAATTGGCAATATTTCTTTTCGAATAGTTCGATTTCATTTACATGGCAGAATTATCTTATTTGCCTTTCATTAGTTTCAAACCAATATCTTCAATAATATTTTGAAACAATTTTTTTGCCTTGCTTCTATAATCTTGACCGTCTTCTGTGTGACTGTATTTTGAAATTGTTCTACTACTGCTCAGATAGTGAATAAAGATTGCTAATCAAGTAATCAAAAAGTAACAAAATTTATAAATTTAAATAATTGAAAAATACAATTAATTGCAAAAACAAATTTATCAAATAATCAAATTCTCCAATACTTCAAAAAAATGAAATTTACTTCTTAAAAGTCGGTTTTGGTGCTATAATGGCGAATGATTGTAACGACTGCAGAAGCTTCACATTAGGGAGATCGATTTCACGTAATATTAAGCATTTTATATTCTTTACGTTTTTTCTATGCCTAAAAATATTGGCGAATAAAATTAAAAATCGCCTAGGTAATTTTTTATAATTTAAGTAAACTGCAAAAAATTTAATTACAATTTAAAAAAATCAACTACCGAAAATAACTTATGGCAAAATACCTGACGCTGGGGACGCTATCAATTTCTTGTGCCCTTCTGTACTTTTTATTACCAGTTGAAGGGCGCGAAACTGTTTTCTTTAAATCTGTACCTAAAATGAAAAAAATATAAAAATTTCCCCAATATAATACGATACAATAAGATTTAATTCAGCAAATAAATAATTATCGCATTGAAAATGAAATTGAAAGCAAAAAAATTAGTTGATTGGGGATAGAGATTTTCAATATTTATCAAGGAAAACAATTCTGACGTAATTCTTTAAAATTCTTAATAAATTAGTAATTATTTTCTGATTTTGAAAGATCTAAATTATGAGACAGATTATTAAGAATATAAAAAATTCATTAAAAAATTCCACTTTAAAACGAAAATTTTAAATTTAAAAAATAACAGCGAGCAACACAAGTCCATTTCTGATGATAGGTTAAATCTCGCTGTAAGCTAAACACTGACTGACAACTGCCACATCTAAAAATTTTTCTAATAATTATTTAGCAATACAGTTGCTTTGTAAACAACGTGGTTTCAAATAACAATAAGCAAATTAGGCTAAAATATAATTAAAATATAACGATATAACACATTAGGCTAAACTAAATAGAACAAGGCGATAGTATTCTTCACTTTAAAAAAATGTAAGAAAATTAAAAATTAATAAAAATTCGTAGAAGAACTGCGCAATTACAAAAGTTACCAGCAACTTAATTACTGTGAACAAGTATAAATAATGGAAAATAATACAAACCTTCTAAAGATTAGCATAAATTAAAAAAATTATCTATACTCAGCTTTGCGCATAAGAGTCCAGAAAACAAATGCAAACAGACTTAATCAGCCCGCTATGTAGCAATTCTTTGGTGGTCTCCAAAAACTACCCCATTTCGCGAAAAATCTCCAAATCCAAATCATATTCCCTTAGAGTCCTCAGAACCATGGTGCACCTTCTGTTCATAATCCAATGCGACCGCTTATTTCAAAACAATGTCATTAGATTCCATTATATAATACCAATATCACCTACACTTTCTTTAAACGCCTCAGCAAATCATGTAGCCAACTTTTGTTTCTATAAATTATATAATCGAAAAGAAAAACATGGATTCAAAAGCAGATGTACTAATTAAATATTCACAAACCAAATAGATAAGGATTTTGGTATATCGCTTCAAATTTCGTCAGCAAATTTTACATTTTACTGAATTTACCGCCAATTTGATTCTATTAAAAGAGAGGCAATCAAGTGGGTGAAGAAATGTAATATTTTCACTAATTTTCTGAACTGCCGAAGATACGAATCCATCAGATAGAAAAATCTTTGGATGTGAAGGCACATGATTATAACGCAATCAATGATAAGATGTTCCCATAGATAACTAATTCAGTCTTAATTCAGTCTTTAACTCCTCTTCATTGCAAGCAATAACTGGCCAAATCAAACAACGTTAATGTGAAAACATCAACTGCTCAGATAGTGAATAAAGATTGCTAATCAAGTAATCAAAAAAAGTATGCCGTTTTTTCATTCATATGAACCCGATTCTTAAGCATTTGACATAAATCTAACACCTTCATTTTATTGCTATCAACGGCTTCCCTATTCAAACGGGTGAAATAAACATGCTTACTGTCTGCTATCAGCTATCCACTAGTGTGTCAACAATTCATCGAAGCTTACAAATTATCTGATTCAATGCTCCATCCAGTTTCGACCACACACTCACGAATGTGCATACAGCTATGCTCACATTTCCATGAAATGATACTGCGAGGATTTTTTCGGTTCACTGCGATATTTTTTAGATAATAAAGATAAAATTAATAAAACAAAAAAGAAAAACCTTAATGTTTTCTCCATATGAACTTTAAAAAAGTGCTGTCGAAGTAATTTAAACGAGTTGAAATATGATTTGCTCTGATTACTTCTCGAACATTCAAATGGACAATAATATCGTCGTTCGACGTCTAAAAATTTATTTCAGCGTTCATCACAATAAATTTATTCATTCAAATCCACAAATAATAAAGGAAAAAACCTTTAATAAATTTATTTATAAAATTATTTTAATTAATTTACTTTTCGAATAAAAAATTTAAAAGGTAACCTTTTAAAGAATTCTTTTTCAATCGATGACGAAGTTTAATATCCGAAAAACTTTTTATAAAATTATGCGTTTTCACTAAATGCATTCGTAATGCATTTGTATTTTTAAAAATTTGATCACAAAAATTACAATTTAATAAATTATTATTTAAAATTCCATAATTTTTTAGCTCATCAACGCTTAATTTTATTTCAATATAATTTAATTCATTTACCATTGTCTGAATAAAATCTTATTTAATAAAGTATATAAATAAAATTTATTTAATAATAAAGTAAAATATTGCTACAGCCAAAATGGCAAAAATGCAGCAGATAAAATATGGAAACTTCGCAGTCATCCAATCGAATAAACACTGAAATCGCAATTAGCACAGCGGTGAAAGTACACTCTAACCTGGCAGTCGGGTTGTTTAAAGTGGGTACCACAGCAAAAATCGAATCTGTTTTAAATATTTATTAAAAGTTTATTTGCTATTTATAATAATCGTTAAATTTTTAATTCTTATTTACTTTATGTTGAATACTTCTATATAAATTCCTTTTAAAAACCTCATCCCCATCCTCTAACTGCACGATCTAACGACAAATACAAAAATAACAATAATACCTCCCACACATAACAAAATCAGTAAAGACATAATCTTTGAAAGAACCAGGTCTGCCTTTTTCTAAATTGCAGTCAATATTTCGGCCGCCATTGGTGTATTTCGTAAAATCTTCATGAATTTTTGAGAGCCAGTTTCAGCTGTTTTTTTGTGTGGGAAACTGGATGGTTCCATAAGATAAATTGGAAAGCATGCCATTTCAAGCCTCCGAACGATAAAAAATAGCCTTGAATTCAGTTGGCAGATCCATTTGAATGTGTGGCAGGTCATGTAAGCTGGGGAATGGGGAACGACGATGCTTCGTAGATTTATTTTATTGTTGTCAAGGCGCAAATGTCGTTCCTGCAACGCTTCAGCCGAAGCAATTTCGCATTAAAATATTCCTCCCTACTTGCGAAATGTCGTGTAAAGTCGAATTTTCAACAACAACATTCATTAAAATCTTTTTCTGAATATTTTGAAAATGGGGATTTTTTTGGTTTTCATTTTATTTTCATTTCTTTTTGGTGAATTTCTGGTGAATTCTCTGGAATTTCGTTATACAAATTTATTCGGTTTTGCTTTTTTTCTCCGAAATTTTTTCGAAATCGTAAAATTTCAGAAATTCTCGTTGAGCGATTTTTCGCTTTTTTTATTTCCGTCTTTATTGAAATTTCTTTTTAGTGCATTGAATGCTTTTGGAAGGAAATGTCGATTGATCCTTCAAAATATGTTTTCTCAATTCCATTTGAAATTCGAAAAGAATTGTGCGACATACTCGATGCGAATGATTTATGGGAAAAACTTGGTTCATTCATCTTTTCTTCAATTTATTTTCTGTATTTCGAATTTTTTTCTAAATCTCTCTTTTTTGTTAATTTTATTTGATTTTCGAATTGCGGTTTATTTAAAGAATAAAGAATAAAATTCTTTTCTTTTAAAAATTTATCCAGTTTAGATTTGTTTTAGCGGCGTTAATGCCAGATTTACAACTGAAAGACGTCGAAGCTTGTCGCAAAGTTTATGGTGCTGGTGGAAGTCCAACCGAAATTTTGTTAGCAATTTGGGGTTCAAAGGGCAATAAAATTGTTCAGCTTTATAATTATCTTGGACGAATAAGAAATATACGAGCAATGAGAATTATTCGTCATCTCGGTTTGGTTTTTTTTTTGTTCAGTGATTAAGTATAAATTTTTTGTTTTCTCCAAGAATTTAAGTTGAAACGTTGGAGATTTAGCAAAAAATTAAAAAAATTAAATTAAGTTCTTTTTCCGCTTTTTTATTTTCGTAAAAATGTTTTCTTATATTTTTTTGTTTCAGTGACTCCAGACTGTTACCATTGGGAAGATGAATGCTTTTCGATGAATGCAAGTAAGGACCAAATTTTTTAGCCATAAGCGATTGTTCTTCTTTATCGTTTGCTGATTTTTCAATTTTTTTATCGGTATTTTTTAAGGACATAATGACTGTGAAACAGGATATTATCCTTGTTATAGCGATGCAAATTCTGATCAGCAGAGTTCGAAATTTGAGTTAGATTTTAGAAAGACATATTCTTTCTTTTTTTTGATTCATTTAAATTTAAAATGTTCCATTTTATTCCAAATTTTTATCAATCTTATCACACTTCCAATTTTCCAAAAAAAAATTTTTCAGAAATATGGAAAGGTTTTCTTGTTCAACTATATACAATGCTCCATCTATTAAATATAACGAGGTTTTATTGGCCACAAACAACTTCGCTGATAGTCAAATTATAGGTCGTGGAGGCTATGGAATTGTTTATAAAGGTGACTGGAAACGTACGAAGGTTTGATCTTTTAAATTCTAAATGTTCTATAATTATATTTTTTTTAATCGTCTTTTTATATTATTACTTTTCAGGTTGCTGTAAAGCGGATTCAATCAAAAAACAATTCAATTAAAGAAGTAAGAAGTAAAATACAAGTTATTTTTTGTGTTTTTTTTTTCAAACCATTATATTATTTATAGGGTTTGCAAGAAATGCGTACTCTTGCTTTATACCGTCATGATAATATTCTGCCACTCTATGGATTTTCTTTCGATGGTCCAGAGCCGTGTCTTATTTATCAATTTATGGCCAATGGTTCTCTCGAAGATTATATAAAATGCAAGGTATATTTTATTTATTGATGCTGGAAAATTTTTTAATGCTTTAAAGGTAATTTTCAATTTAGGAGAAAACAAATATATTAACATGGCAACAAAAGTGGAATATTGCAATAGGAGCGGCTCGAGGTTTGCATTATTTGCATACTGTTGGATCTGCACCATTAATTCACGGTGATATCAAATCAGCTAATATTCTTCTCGATAGATATTTCGAAGCGCGATTGGGTGATTTTGGACTTTCCCGCATTGGAAAGGTTTCTAATTTTTGCATTGCTTCTTCAAATTTTAAAGTTTAAAACTCCGAAATTTCAATATTTTGAAAAATTCCAGAACGTTGATTACTTATGATTTTTAAAATTATTTTCAGGTTGAATTTGAAAAGGTTTCGGAATCTCTAACGTCCACAGCGATCGCAGCAAATGTAAAAGGCACTCTTGCCTATCTTCCTCTGGAATTTCTTACTAGGTATATTAATAATAATATTAACTAGGTTAATTTTTAAATTTTTATTGAACTGGAATCAAAAATTTTTACATTTTTATCTTATTTTTGAAGATTGTTCAAAATCTTTTTAACAACGATTTTAAAATCATATAAAGAAATTTAAGAAGAATAATAACAACGAAGTTGGATATTTATGGTTATGGAGTTGTATTATTAGAAATTGCAACTGGTATTGGAGCGTTTGGTTGTTCGCTAGATGAATCGAATCTTGCTAGTTATTGCCATAAGATTAATTCTTCCACCAAAGATAATTCTCATAAAAATGTGGAACTTATTATGGATCATAAATGCCCATCTAATGGTCTGTTGTCTGTTTTATTTGTTCAAGTATTATTATTTTTTAAAGATCAGTTAATTTCATGAAAATATATGAAAGCAAATTTATTAGATTCATAGTTGTAATTTCAATTGTTCCTGTCTTTTTATTTTGATTTACTTCCTTTAAGATTTGCAACATAATATTTATCGAAATTTGTTGGAAATGGGATTAAAATGTACGGAAACGGATTGGAATGATCGGCCATCTTCACAAAGGATTCTCGATGAATTAATTTATTATGAGTCTACTTAACCAATTTAATTAATCTATTTGATTATTTGGAAATCAGCAAACAACAGGAATTATTCCAATTATTCAGATGTGAAATTTTGTATAACCTTTGCCAGTACCTGATTTTTTTCCGGAACGCAATATAATTTCGTTTCGCTTCTCTTTAATCCTTCGAAAGGATTTTTTAGTCGTTAGAACTATTCTTCTAATAGCTGTCTTCATTACTAATTATGCTGGCTACAAGGACAAGGCGCCTCCAGGCCCTTCGATCAGCTGCCATCCATTGACAGAAACAGAAGCCGTTCTTTTTTATTCCCTTTTCTGTTGTCTAAGTCTATATATTGCTGATCCACCTATATTCCACGTATGCGTTCAAAATTTAGTCCAGGTCTTGATTGACCTTTTGGCACCATCCATCGCAAATTTATAACTAGCTAAATTGTAAATGATAAATGATGCGTTCTTCAAGAAGGTTTTTTTGGGATAATAATCTATTCGCTCTTGTTATTTTTTCATTTATCTATGTATCATTTGTTCGTTACATCGTAATTTATATCGAATGCAGTTTATGTAATCTTTTGCAGCTTGTTATTTTTATATCATTTAGTAAATAATGATCATGGCTGAAATGCAAAAAAAATTTTATTTTTTTACAGTAGTTTTAAATATAAAACTATTCATTCATTTTCATCGGGCAAATGTAATGGTTTTTTGGTTACTGAACGCAAAACTTATTTATCAAAAAAGAGAGTTTTACAAATTTCTACTCGGTTTAAATTTTCATTCATAATTAATTTTTTATTAAAATTTTTGCTAATATTTATCAATTTATTAATATGTTGAAGATTATTACATTAATTTTGTTTTATCCAGTTAATTCGATGAATTTCACGCGTCGCAAATGAATCGAAATATTGAGAAGTTCATTTTTCTTTATTAAATTTGGGTTTAATTTCTTTATACCTAAAAACAATTGAATTTTCTCAGCACTTTAACATAAAACGAGATTGCTGGTTTACTCTCATCAATTTTGTAGGTGATATGAACCATGGCGAGTTTTCTAATTGCAAAATTCGGGCGAAAAGATTGCGGAGACGATTTTAGAGATTAAATTCCTTTATTTAATGTTTATAGAGAAGCTAAATATTTTAGCATTTTTCCTTGATTAATGAAAAAGTTCAAATATGATTATTCTTTATCCTAATTATAAAATTACTTCAATTTACCAACAAAATTTCAGTAATTTTTTTGAGTGTATTCGGCCAGATTTGTGCCTGGTTCTGGCAAAATGTGGCGATCCAATGACATTCTTTGGTGTTTTTGATCTGCAGGTTTTTAAATTTTCAATAATCGAGAGAATATTTTCTCTCTCTCCTGGTTCTTTATGTTTTATACGCTAAGTTTTTCAACGATTTGCAGGTTCTGTATGGATGTCTAAATGTTCGTGGCTACAAATTCGTAGCTGGCGGATATGATGAGGATCGGTTTGTTTCAGTATCTGCTCCATTTGTCTTAGGACCTCCAATAAATTTAGAAGCTTTTTCATCTGGCGATTCAATTATCAATCAGCATCGGCTCAAGTGGCGCATTAAAAAGGTTTTATATTTTCTTTCCTGAAATAAATATTTTTCACTTTATCATTACTTTATCTGCGTGTTTTGCAGATCTCTCCAGCAGCAGATAAAATACTTAATATTTTCCGTGAAGGCGATGCTTTAGTTCTTCTACGTTTCAGTGTATCAAATGCAGTGGCCTGTACTCGAGATATATATGAAAGCGTAAAATTCTCATTTCGTTTTTTAAAACATTTTAATAACTGTTTATAATTCTAATATTATTTTATATATTTATGCTAGTTAATTTTTTGTTAAATTCCTTTTATTTTTTCTCTTATTTTTTCTAACGGCACAGACTGTTATTGCTACTGGTTAGATATGAGTTGATTAGATGAGTGATGAATGACGATCGATGACGAAAATGGTCTAATAAGAATTGCCTCTATTACGATATAATTAATGCATTTAATATATTTAGTTGATTAATATTTAGAATATAGAAGGTACATTAGACAGAGTTGATCAATGGTAGCTTTTTGATATTTTCCACTCTATCCCATGAATCATAAATATCTTACGGTTCATAGTATTAAAATAAGATTATGCACACTGCATCCAAATTCCTGTGAACTTTTATTTTGATATCACGGCGATTCCTTATTGGTTTTGAAAAGCGAAAGAGTATTTTGCCATCCAAAGTGAGAATGAATCCAAAATATTTGAAAAATTGGCATCTTCAGCCAGTAATATATTTATGTAGATGCCAGGAGGTATTCATTTTATTTATTTCCGGGTTCTGACTGCATTTTAACTGCATTTATCGACATATGATCTAGCATGGTACCATAGTACCTTGTCATTAGCACATCAAGATCCTTGGAACTATGCTTCTACCTCTTGATTGCTATGCCTCAAGCAATTACCCTAAAAATATCTGTCTTATTGTATAATCATAAACATATAATTGGATAATTGGTGAATGCAACTAAGTTCTTGTTTTGAAAAAATGCGACAATTTCCCAAATGTGTACGTGTATGAATACAATTTTTAACAAAAATAATTTCGAGAAACAATACAATAAGCCGAAAAAAATTCATTCATACCTTGGTCACTAGAAATAGGAGATACATCGGCGCTGCTTTTCATTCGATTTACTTCATTTTTCCTCAAATTGTGATCGTCTCCTTCACTTGATACACCACGATATACTCAGTGAAATACTCAGTAAGTGAGACAAGTTACATAATAATTTTCTGTGGAACACCGTCGAATTTTACTTGCGAGAATGCCACATTTTGAAGCAGGAGCGTTCTAATGATATAGTTATCCCAGCTGTGTCGACCACCAGAGATTCGATTTTCGATCCTGATAGGTCGTTAGAAAATTCCAGATGATACTGGTTACTTTAAGTGATTGCGTGGCAAAAAATTTCAAATCGTACTAATAGCCAGTTAAACTGGGCCTTTTTATTTGTGCTTGTCTGTACTGTGGCTTATTAACATAGCCGTAAAACAAGTACCAGTATATTTAAAATATTTTTTTTCAACATTTTTCATGGCTTAAATACTTGGCTTAACTCATCTGAATCGCGGCCTATATCCATCTTTTTTGGTTCTTTAGTTTTTTTACTGATGTCATTATTTAGGTGAATGCAAAAATCTTCTTGGTGATATTAAACCAAATTTTCGCTAGTTCGTTTCATTACCTTTTTTTCCCAACTAGTGGAAAGGGAATATGAGTGATTTATGTGATTATTCATTTGGTTTAAGTTTTTTTTTCGATACCAGCCAATATATTTCTTTACATTTAAGAACGTTGGAGAATTCAACCCGGAGGCCACCTCCAGGAATTTTTCTAAGTATTTTTGTTTGTTTCACATCTGATTTAAGAGAAAGAGCCTCAGCAACCACTCTTTAACTTTCAAATTTTAATTTTCGATTCAGGTGAAGAAAAGCAAATTCGATTTTGTAACCAGATTGTTATCTCTTATTAAATTATTAATTGTGATAATAAATGGACTCATCATTTTCCATTGTGATTGGTATTATTTTTAGATTTTTTTCATACCTCCTGTGACCTCTACATGTATTATATTAGATGCTTTCTGTTGTGCTCTCACGAAACGTTGGCCAGTTAATTATCCATATACAACATTAACATCGATTGTATCTTCGATAAAGGAAGGTCGGATTTTTCAGTAAAATGGGGAAATTGATAAGCTTCTTTCACTTTCACTTGAGTTATAATTTCAGAAATTCAACACAAACATAAATATTCTTCATGATGAAAATTTAAATGAAATTTAAAATGAAAATTTAAATGAAATTTCTCTTTATTTTCCATTTCAGATACAACAACTATGATAATGGTTACGGGTGGAAAAGGTGTTGGTAAATCTACCATATCCAGACTGTTAGCAAATTTACTTCTAAGCAAGTACGATTTCTTCTCAGAGATTGTAATTTCTTGTGTCAACGGCTTTTATTACTTTTATTTTCATTAAACTGGTTTAATGATTTTTATTTTTTAAAATTAAGACTAGAAAAAAAGTGTTTCAGAGAAAAGTCGGTATATATTTTGGATGGGGATGTTGGACAATCTGAAAGAAATCCTCCTGGATGTGTTTCATTGTTCCATGTCGATGGTCCTTTACTTGGTTCGAATTCCACCTTTTTTTCATATGATTGTTTTTTAAATTATAAAAAATTGTAAAAAATTCCGTTAAAATTAAATTAATTGCAGGAGTACCTCATTTACATCAGAAGAGTTCTTTACTGACTTATTTTTACGGAAATATTTCACCAGAGGATGATTCGGATAGTTATTTACTACTTTTGTTGAAGTTGATTGATTATTTTAAATCCATCGCGCCAGCGGGTTCAGTATTGGTTTTCAATACTCTTGGTTGGGTTGAAGGTGAGGGGGTTTTTAAATTCGTTTTTTAGCTGATAATGGCTTAAATTTTAAATTTTAACTATTTTATTTTCTAGGCGATGGTATCGATGTACTCAATAGTTTAATTGAAAAAATATCACCACATTTTGTTGTAAATATTGAAAGTGAGAACGCCTCGAATTATCCGGTAATCTTTCAAAAGTAATTTCGTTTTCAAGTTAAAAAATTGGCGACTCCTAACTTGTGAATATTTTTACGAGTAAGAATTCTTCAGAATCCTTTTTATTTCAACGAAATTTATTTCACGGATCGTAATGTTCTTAAACATTTTTTTCCTGTTAAGGAATTGTCAATTTATTTTTTTCCAGACTGAAGTAGCAATCAAAAAAGGCTCAGTCGTTCATATTATTGAATCCTACAAAAAGGCATCGTTCGTTTTTTGTTTATTTTTTGTTTATTTAATTTTTTTAATTTTTTTTTAAATTTATCTCTATATTTCATTTCAATTTTGCTTTAGTCTATTTATTTATTTATCAGCAAAATGATCAGAACATAACCCCATAACACTGATAAAAATAAAAAAAATTAAAATCGATGCGATAGCAATTATAAAATAAAATAGAATTTATCTGACATAATAAAATTTATTATTGCTGTCCGAATTAGTATGGTTGAATAAGATTTTAGGCTTATAAATTAGATCATATTTAGTTCCAGATAGTAACGAGTTTATATTTTGAATAAACTGAGCATTAGATTTAACAGTTTTTTACCGTCAATTTTCACTATCAATGATGCACTGTAAGTTTCGAAATTTTTATTTTTTTAATTCTGCTTTCATTACCAAAGCACCAAAACACCCAAAGAGATTGTATCGTCTGTGGTGCGAAAAGTATGCTATATTGAAAGGAACGATAATTTTCTTTAATTCTTTTCAGCCACTTTTTTTTCAGGCAACAACTTTCCGTTCCTTTTAATTTATCGGCCGCATCACTCCGTGATCTTTTAATATTAGGGTATATGTCAGCTGTTTCTCCTTCTCCTTCGATTTCTGCATTTGCAATGGCAATTCCTTATGCAGTAAATTTTAATTCTATTGCTATAAATTTTCATCCTCAGTTGTGTGGTGTTCCTGATACTCATATTTTTGCTGTATTGAATTGCACTCTAATAGCTCTTTGTATTTCTGATGACGAGGCTTCTCAAAATCAGGTTTTTTTTGTTTTTTTATTTTACTTGTAGTTTGTCAAGTGGAGTGGATTCAGATAAGTTTAACAAATATAATAGATGAAAAATATAATAGTTTGCCTTTACAGAATTTTTTCTTTTTTAGCTGCGATTATGCTGCTTAATATCAATCATAGTCCAAAATTTTCCTTTTTTTTATTATTTTTTATCCTTTTTGTTTTGTGAAAAATTGGTAAAAGGCATCTTATAAATTTCGCCATTATGTGATTGCCTACTTGCTTAATCAGCTATGTTTTAAGAATTGGTAAAGCAGAGTTCGAAGCAAGTTTATTAGATTTTCTTGGTTTCAATCCATTTTTTCTAAAATTTTTTATATTTTTCATATCTTTTCGCTGTTGAATTTTTCATTAAAAAATGAACGAATTCGAAAAATTGATTTTAGATTGTAAAACGAAGATTATTAAATAGAGAAGATATGCCCTGGTTGTTGAAATCTTCATTAACTTTACGTTTGATTGGTTTCGGATTTATCCGAGGGATCGACATCGATAAACGATTTTTCTATGTTATTACTCCTGTTGATCGTTCTGATTTAGTTAAGGTCAATACATTTGCACGTGGTCTGAATATTGAAATGCCTCATCAGTTTTTGGCGAAACAGGTTTTTCACCATTCACTATTCTATATAACAGGAAATTCTAATTGAAAAAAAATTATTTTGCAAAATTTTTTCAAGCGGAAATCTTTCAAAATTTTGTGAAAACTATTTTTTATTCAGTTTATTTTTATTTATAAGTCTTTTTTTCATAATACAAGTAATTTCATTCAAATAGAGAAATTTTATAGCGGACGGACAAGGCGCCCTATTTAATGCAATCAAAGTGGAGTTCATTGAATGATGAATTATATAAAGGTCTTACCATCGGTGGTACTTTCAGTTATAAAAGACCACGTTTGCATCATTGATCTTTTTTATTTAACTGTTTATGCTGTTGAAAGAAGTTAATAATTTTCGTTCATGTTATTTTTATTAAAAATATCGGCACCTAAGGCACCCTATTACAAATCTGTAATAAAAATATCCCATTTATCTATTTACTTTTGACCGAGAAGCACAACGATGTTCATTCAGTTATTCGAAATCTTCTATTAAGATATTAAAAAATTTACTTTATCTTATTAAATTTATTAAAATTTATTCTTCGGCAACAGTTATCTTTAGTTTTTATTTGATCGTTGGAATGAGACCCGTTAATTTGATCATTTACAATTCAATTAATTTAATAATTTAATTGAAGCTACTTTTCTTATACATACAACAACAATAAACAAGTGAACAAACCTGTCATTTTCAATTCTAATATTTTTTATTTTTGCTTATTTGGCATTGTAAATTTTCTAAAATTTTTTTCAAATTTTATTATTTGAAGTGAGTATTTAATATTATTTATCACAAAATATAAAATGCAAATATTAGATATACATCAAACGAGAAGAAAAATGAGATGAAAAATGAAGATTATAGAGGGATTTCTCTATTCGGATGATATTATAAGGAGTTGGTGATAATTACAATAATACCGATAATGGCGGCGAATGGCGATGACATTATTGAAGGCGAAATTGATGGTGTAGTTGTTGCGATTGTTGTAGTTGATAATAGCGTTGATGATGAAGAAAGTGGTGTGGTTGTGGCTGTTGGCGCGTTAGACAATGTTGATGTTGATGGTACTGTCGATGATGCTGGTAATGACCCTTCAGTGGGTGATGGTGGAGATGGCGATGTAGTTGACGATGATGCTGGTGATTGTGTTATCAGTGATGATGGCGGTGAAGCTGTCGTTGAAGCTGTCGTTGCTAATGAATTAGTTGATGATTGCGGCGTTGGTGAAGACAATGATGATGCTATTGCTGGTGATGTTGGCAGCGGCAAAAGTGTTTCATTATTTGTTGGTGAAGAGGTTGTAGTTATAGGAAGAGATGTATTGGGCGATAGTTCTGAACTCGCCGATTGAGTGGTTGTAGTTGTCAACAATGTTGATATTGTTGTTGGTGATGGTGATGTTGGTGAGAAATCTTCGCGCGTTACTGGTAAACACTTGACAGCTCCATTCGTACTTTTGCTTATAAAATCACAAAATGCACTAACCCTTGTGTATATACCTGCAACTTCATTTAAATATTATAATTTACAGCTGATTTCATTTTTTCCTATAATCATTTTTACATGCGTTAGTTGCTTATTGGCAAGGTGGTTGCCAAATCGAGAATGGCTCGGATTCGAATGCGGCTGACGCACCACGCTTCATTAGGCGACAGTATCACCGATCGACGAAGGCAAAAGGGAGGAGTAAAAACCTATCCTTAAAAAATCCCGATGTTGCTAGCAACTCATTTTTTATAACCCCCCAAGCGGTGCAATTTGTCTGGTTCGATAAACCAACGGAGCGAGCAATGGCAGGGCATTTCCTTGAACTATTAGTAGAACAATTAGCTTCATGAATATATTTTATTATCATGCCTTTTAAGGTCATTTTTTTCAAATCATTTTGCTTTTGCTTTCGCTTCACATCGCGCTATGAATAAATAGATTAATTTAAACTGCAAATGCAAACCCGGATAGATGTGTTGATCCAAAGCATGTTCGGGCGTATTATCGCCGAATGAAGTAATGCCTACTTCATACGATATTCCTTGATATTCGACTATTAGTGGTCCACCACTATCGCCCTATAAAACCCGTTAAAATCTGCTGAATAATATATTTTTTCGGGCGCAATTCTAAGGTAGAATGTGCAAAGTTTGAATGAATTACTCGAGCTGTTCCTCGTGCGTTTCCTCCCGCACATATCTGCGAATCTGCTAATTCGAAATCGGGATCAATCAGATTCTTCCAAGCATTGCTGAAAAGAGAAAATTTCAAATCTTATACAGATAAATCAAAAAAACATGCATCATATTGAATATTGAAAGCATTTCTGGTAAAAGGCTCGGAAATGCAAGTGCCTTCGAAATATTTAGTAAGCCAATGCGTAAGAAATCTTAATTTATTTATCTTAATTTATCAAAAATTAATATGGAAAAAATTTTCTGTGCAACTCTCGAAAGGAACAAAGTGGCAAAAAGGAGAAAAGTCTGATAATAAATTCATTAGATTTTAAGATAATCGTTCAATCGTTACTTGCAAAGTTTGTGATCAATGAAAGGTACTGAAGTTTCTTTTAGGACCGTGCTGATGCTTTCCGATAAATTTTTCCCTTCTAAATTGTGTAGAAAATTATCAAATAGCAATTAAAAGATTCGCAAGGTTTTACTGCATGAAAGATGAAAGATGAAGTTGGAACTTTCCAATGGTTGAAGTGGCTCACTTATTCATAAATATTATTTTAATTTTAATTTAGGTTTTAGCACTAAAAACTGCAAATACCTTAGAAAATTTGCCATGAATATTATTATTACGGCGATGACTTCATAGATTTATCTAAGAAAGCTAATGCAAAAAAGAAACCATTATAATTTCCCCAGCCAAGAACGGTTCCTTCGCCTTTTATTAACATTGAATCAGAAAGCGGCAAGCAGATTGGTTGCATTTTGTCATTGAATGATATTTTTTTAAGCATCTAGAAATTTGTTAATTATTTATTAATTTAGCAACTAAATTTGCTTGTTAAATTTGAAACTTATCGCCTAAATTTATAACAATTAATTTTATTTTACCTTTTTTATTTATTATTCATAATACAAATACAAAATTTTACTGGCATTGGTTTTGTTATAAAAATTAAAATAAATCAATTTTATGTTCTTAAATAAATACTATTAGAAAACATTTCGAATCGAAAATTACTGCTTCAAAAAATCTTAATGAATTCATAGCAAAGATTCATAATGGAAACACTGGGCCAAATTGCTTGAGTTGTGCGCCATTAAGAGAAGTAATTTTCCTTTAAAAAAGTCGAGGTGATCCTGGCAGCTCACCTGTTTTTCTAGCTGATCCCCTAGCAAGGATTTGTCAACAGCCAATATAATGAACCTTATCGGAAATAAGTGCTAATCATTTTTTTCCCTCTATTCAGATATAACCAATTTTTTTAAAATTTTGTAAAGCAGCTTTTTCGTGAAAGCTGCTCATATATAAATTTAGTTAATTTAACTAAAATTATAAATTATAAACTAGAAATCGAAGTTTTATATTTTCATCACATTTTATATCTTCTTGTTTAAATTAACGATGGATTTCTCTTAGTGATGGTACACGAGTGATTATTTATCTCTCCTCTCTACTAATCCTAGAGTCAATATTTTATTTTTTTGGTATTTTACTATTTCTACTATTTATTACTTCAATATACTTACTACTATTATTACCACCTATTTACTATTTCAATATTTTCAAACCAGTTTAGAGCATAGAAGATAGAAGGATTATGCTGATCGTGTAGTCCTTTTTGCAATTAAGGAGAAGTGCAAGAAATGTTAGATAGCAGTAGTAAAAATTAGGAATAGTTTAAGGCTTAGAAATGAAGTCTTTTTTCATCTAGTACATAACAAACGTTGTTGAAATGCCTTTTTTTTATCACTTCATCACAGTCAGATTTTAAATGGCTTGGCTCTACTCAACGAATGGCCAAGAGGAAAATTGCAACTCCGTTCTTCCTTTATGGAAAAAACCTTTATGGATCATCAAAATGAAAATTCACTCTTATCTAGATGCAGATGATCTTGTTATATAGCTGCTTAACATGGCCAATGAGAGTGGGAAATATTAAAAAGCAGTACATATTTCATATGCTTACCAGAGTGAATGAAATCTAACACGACTATTTGCACTTTCGCGTAAACACCCATGTAAATTCACATTTTCATTTCAAAGCGTTGTCTATGCTGGTTCGGCCTTATCCACCGCCGACCGTGAAGAATTAACGCATTCTTGGTACGTGGATGGATTAAGGGCGAGAAGGACCAATCAAGACTATAGAAAAAATTTCGGACCAATATATAGACGCCAAGCGATATGTAGGCTTAGGAAGTGGAAAAAAGAACTAGCTTCTGCTGCCTTCAAATATGGTATCAGACTGAGGGGCTTGAAAAAACGCCTCATCCTTTAGCTAAGCGATTTCTCATTTAAAAAAAAGCGCAAAATGTTTTTGAATGCATTTATTAAAAAGATACCTCTATGACTGCAATGTCATTTGTTACTAAACTATTCTCAGAAGGATCTTCTGGATGAACTTTCACCGATTTTATTGTCCTTATTACATAATCATCGCTATCAAGATCGACGGTACCCAAAATGACAAATGAATTTGCAATATCAATATTTCTGAAAATGCACATTCATTATTTCTCGATAATCGTAAATAGCATTCAATAACAATAAATTTTCATATTAATTGGTTATAAATTGCAAATTGGAGTGAAAATATCCGAGATTTTTCTTTTTTTTGTATAGTTTACTTTAAATTCATAAAATATATAATTTAATATGAAATCAAAATAATAAGCGCTCCTCTTTCTTTCTGAGCACATTCACCATTTCTGTTTGGTTAAATTCGCCAAAGAGTTACTTGGGAACAAAAATACGAAAGTAAGTTCGACCATCTCTCTCGGACTATACTTTTATGAAGCTTATTCCTATCGATAAGTATGGATTGAACCTTAGTCTTGTTTAAATAAAGCTAAATAACCAGGATTTCAACGGGATTACGAAATACTTCAAATACTATAATAATGGCCTTTTGCAGTTATCGATAAATTATTATTTATAGACCAGAAATACTAAAAAAAGGTTGAAGATGAAACGACAAACTAACTCGGCGCAGTGGGCAGCAGTAAGTATATGACGAGGTGAAATTATCGTTCCACCACAAACAATAACGCGACCCGAATTAAGTTGAATCAGTAACAATGTTTGCCATGGCCAATTTTCAATTTTTGTTACATTTTTTCCACCAAATATCTGTATAAAATAATATTTGCACCAATAATATTAATAATATTCAAAAAATTTTATATTTATTATTTTTACAACATTTTAAAATTTTAAAATTTTAAAATGTGATAAAAATATCGGTCATATTAACATAAGTTTACTTCAGCGTATTAGAAATAACCTCAGTAGACGAAAATTTTTTAAATTATGGAAGATGCATCTATGATAACGCTGAACTTTATTGCTGATAACAAAATTCTCAGAGGCTTGCCTTGTAATGCATTTCTTGATGAAAGCTGCGAATATTGCGCGATAGATTATTTATTCTATTGTCAGTTGCCAATGATCGTTTTGGCATTTTAGATTTTATTCGTTTATTCAGTGGCCCAGATGACTTCATTCTTCCACCACATTCCCAACTATTAGAGAAATAAATATTCACCAATAAAATAATTGTAATATTTATTGTATAAAATGAATAATTCCACATTTTTCGCCAAAATAAAATTGCTACTGTATTTGTCTAAAATTATAAGAAATTTATTATTTTGTTAAATTAAAATAAATTTTTAATAAATTCTCAATGTTTTTGTGAAAAAAGAGTGCTATTTGAAATTTCCCTCTCCTTTCTTCTTTATTCTTCTAGGTTAAAACATTTCTTCAATAGTAAGAAGAAGCAAGCACCAATAATAATCTGAGTCAACCACTCGGCTATTCTTGCCCAATGATTATTTGTTAAAAATAATGCTCAAATTATTAAAATAGAGAATAAGTACCCAGCATTGACCGAGCCGAGTCAACTAAATCAAGCTATCAATTAAATTATTATAATATTTAACGAATTCGTATGATACTTCTAATCCTATTATTCATACGTGAATATGAAAAAAACTAGCCCTTGAGAATAAAATGTGCTCTCGAAGGGGCAAACTATTTACTCGAAACCAGTCAAAGGAAATGAGGAAAGCCAAGCACCCTGCATATGCGGCGAGGTATTGGCCATAGCTGCTCATGAATGTTACAAGCTAGATAACCACTATTCACACTCTGCCCAAATATTGTGTGGAAATCGCCTGCTTGTCTTAAATCCGTCTTTCTCAAGTAGTTAACAGAGCAGAGCTACTGGATACGTCATTATGGTGCTTCCATTACCATTCCAATTTGCCAAAAAAAGAGATTAAAAATTTTGAAAAAGGAAGCAATGTTCAATTTTACTAATAAATTATACCAGAAATTATCGTTGCTTATTATATTTATATAGCAAAAAGTTTTTTTTTTAAATATTTGTCTAATCACTATAATAAATAATAAATTTTATAGCTAATTTATCAAATGTTGTACAATAAATTTCGCTGAAAATAATATAATATTTTTAATATTTAACAAATAAAAACTTACAATTTCGAAAATTTTATTTTCTTTAAATATCAATTTGGTAATAAGTTTTTGCAATTTTTCATCTTTCTTATTATTATATAACAATTCTTATGACAAATTTCCATTCTTATAGTCAACCAAAAAATTTCGCTAAGTTTTGATCAAAAATCATCCATTGTTCAACCAATTTCCTGAAATGCAAAGATTTCACGAGATTTCAGTAAACTGAAATTTAAACTAAATATATTATTATCATAATCATTGGTGGATTATGGATTCGCGTCTTGTTTGGTTATATATTTTGTTTGGTTATAAAAAAGCCACAAATTTTGATTAAAATTTATCAAATTCCATCTAAAATTTAATTTTATTAGATTTTGCGCAAATGAAAGGATTGATTTAAAAGAATAGAAAAATCTGCTGGCTGTATTATTAATAGGAAAAGAAAAAAATAAGAAAGTCGGTTGATAAAAAGCCACCTTCTTCTTCTAACAGTTCTCACCGGTTACTGGTTAGGCTGGCTACAAGGGTAAGACGCTTCGAAGAGGAGTGATACCATCATCGACGGTAATAGAAGCCATTTCTTTTTCCATCATCCATATAACCACCGAAGGCGACGCTCTGTGACAATATTATACAGGTGGTATTTATTTTATTTGCTCGACGGACTCGTAAAATATACCTTAGACAAGAGTGGTTAAAGATAGATAATAGATAACTTCTTAATATCTTCCATTCTCATTGGCTATGTCTTAGAGCCATATAGCAAGATCGAACGAATCACGGCTATATAGATGCGGATTTTTGTTTTAATGGTAATTTCACGACACCTTTATAAAGATTTCGTCAACGGAAAGAACGCATTTCTAGCTGATCCAGGCAATAATATCGCCTTTTGCGTGGCCATTTGGTATTAGAGTGGACCCAAGGAATTTAAAATCGGGCACTGCCTTAACCGGCAATGAATTAACAAAAATAGGCATTTTATCAGCTTCTTACACATATTTACATTGGTCCTGACGAAAAGACTTTCGTTTAATTTACATTGGTCCTGAGTCCGATTCTCGCTGCAGTTGCTGACACGTTATTTCGCATTATTTACATTTCGTTACAACAACTCTTAGCAAATAGAATAATATCATCAGCATACTCAAAGTCTTCTATGCTTTGGACTAATTTGGATGCTTCTTGAGTTCAACAAGCAGTGTACATTATCCAATTTATTGCATAGTTGAATATTATAAAGGAAAGAACACAATCTTCATGGACATCAGTTCTTATTTCGAAGGAGTCTGTCAACTCCCCATATACACAGACCTGCACCGACCTACGCTCATAAAATGCCTTTATGAATCGAATGATTTCCTTTCACCGTCGCGTTCCATTGACCTCCAAAGTGCCGCTCTGTCAATTGAATTGAAAGTCAGTGAAACACGTGACGGTGGGTGCAAATATCTGAAGCGATATTCCAACATCCTTCTTAATATTTTTTCGACTAATAAATTTTTTTTCTATGATTTAATTCAGTTTTACTAATATATTTCTAATTTAATTTAGCAAATTTAGCAAATTTTTTTTCAAATCCTTCTTAGCGTGAATATCTGGTCAGCAAAACCACGCCCTGACTTGAATCCAGCTTGATTTGGGCGCATCCTATTGTCCCGTACTTCCATAAGTCTACTGAGTAAAAGGGAAGCAAAAATTTTCTCTGAGATGTCTAATAGGCTGATTCCTCGATAATTGTCGCAGTATGTCTTATCACCTCTTTTGAGAATTGGGAGCAGATTGCTTTGCTCCAATCATCTGGTAATATTTGATAAATAATTTTCTTTTTTATTTTTTGATAAAAAGTCTTAATGATAATTTTAATCTTGTGACAGGAGCCGAAATTTTGCATCTCAACACCATTTGAACTACTATCCGCTCATTTATCCCGTCTTAATTAGATAAGTTACGATCTATTAATGGATTATAGATGGATTATAATGATTGATTTTCCTTTTGTGATGGAATTCAATTCCTTTTAAAAACAAATGTTGCTTCAGCTGATAACACAACATCACCACTAGATCACTGATATCAGCTGATAGCAAAATATCACCACTAGATCATGAATATCAGTTAATAGCATAACATCACTACGGATATCAGTTGATGTCGAGATATCACCACTTTCCAACATGCAATATGAATTGGGTGAAATTGAGTGAAAACAAACAATTTATCCTTGAATACTCAGCTTTATGTTCAAATTGTTAACCTTCTGAAAATATGACCGATTAAGCTCTTTCAACCAGAAATGGTTCAATTAGTTTTGGAGAATTTTTAGTCAAGGAATTAGCTAAAAAATTGCAATTTTTTGAAGTATTAAGAAAATAATAGTCAAAATTCTGTCGTTATTCTGTCGAGGGTTTTTTTGAAATGTTTCGAAAATTGTATATCAGTGTGCAAAATTTAGCGAGAAAATGGGAACAATTAAATGCTGCTTGCTAAATCTACGTTTCGTTCGTTTCATAAATTAAATAAATCCCATTATATCGAAGTTCGTTCAAGACCTGGACTGATACGGTCAGAAAAGATTTTGAACCAGCCAGCAATATAGACCAGCAATATATGGACTTAGACGATGGAAAAGGAGTGGATTTTATTATTGTTACGATGAAGGATCGAATAGCCTGTAGGCGTCTTGCTATAGCCAGCGTAGCCAGCATAATTAGATAACGATAAAAAATATATAGAAGTTCATTTTATTAAAATTTCCATTGACTAAGCGATATCTTCGTTTAAGAATGTTTAATAAATATTTATTAAATCATATTAGAGGTAAATTATGCTTAATACAACGAAACAGTTTTCCTTCCAGAAATTTTACTGAAAAAGGCAAAAACAAATCTGTTTTCTCAATTATCATTTTATATTTCTATAAATCACTTAATAAAAAGAAATAACAAATAAGAAGAATAATCCGTCGAAACTGTGGATTAGATCGCAATAAATACTTTCAGCGTTCTAGAAAAGTCTATTTATAAAATTAATTATTAGTTATAAAAATTAATTACAAATTAAGAGATAAATTTCCTTTACAAAATTCTCATTTTTATTTCGCGCCGTTGTGCCTTGCTTATCTTTGCCATTATTCATTTATCTCCACTTTTCAACAACGGTGAAATATATAAAATTTTTAACATATACACATAAATTTTTTCGTTTTGCCGGATTCGGCGTTATTTTAAGGCTTCGATCGTTTCTCTATAAATAGCGAACTCAGCGGTAGCTAATTACATTTTTTTCAATAAATTATTGCCTTATTTTCGCATTAATTAATCTTCTTTTATGGACTTTTTTAATCAAAAATCATTTTATCACAGCCTATGCTCGTGTATTATGCATTCCATTATTTGTCGCTGTTGATTATTATGGCTAACTGCTTACTTCACTGAAATCACATCTGCACAGATCCACAGTTTTATGGAATAAATTCAAAGTTACAAATTCAAAGGATAACAAAAACATTTCACTATTTCACTATTAGTTTACTGCAGTTTCACTTTTATCACCGATATTTATTAAGCGAAAATATGACTGAAATTTAAAAAAGGAAGTGAGAAAGTCCGAGGAGCGGTCAAATTACAAATGACCTTTGCTGATCAACGATGGCCGAGTCATATCGCCAAGCCAAAATTCTTTGGCATTCATTTTTTCTTCTTGTAATCCGAAAGTGACTTGTTTATTCGAGAAGTTTATTCATACAATAAAGCATCATAAATCACTCATTAAAAATTCTTAAATTGTACAATTTTTTATTTATGTATAAAAATAAATAAAAAATATAAAATCACTCATGAAAGAGCGACTACAATATTTCGCTCAGAAATACATATTTCGTGTATAATACATTTTTAATAAACATATTTCGTGTCATGAAAAAATTTTATATGTAAATGAATAATGCATTTGATTTCGTATTTCAATTTTAAGAATGTTTTGTTCTGCAAAATTTTCAGGTAGAGTAAAAATCTCATCCTTCTTTTCCTCTTTATCGTCCATAATTCCTAATTTTTTCATTCCTATAAAATAATGAATCGCTTTTGATGATTCGGCCAATGAACATTATGCTCAGTGATGCATTAATTAGACCATAATTAAATAAATAATTATTAAAAGCCAAATCTTTTTGAGGCTGCGGGCATCTGCATTTTTTGCCTGCAATGGCGTAATTATCATTAAATAGGCAGTGTGGGCAATAAGCCTAATTAGGAATTGCTTACACAATTACGGCTTTTATATTGAAAAATTGAAGCGAATATCATGAAAAAAATGAATTTCAGTTCTTCATTTTCATAATTTTTTTCTTTAGATATCGCCACATTTTATAAAAATACTTTTATTAAATAAAAATACCTTTAACAAAAATATATTGTTTTTTCAATCGAGCAATATTTATTTACAATATTGTTAAAAATGCATTTTGCACCAAAATTAGATAAAATAGATTAAAAATTTAATTAAATTTTAATATGCATTCAAAAAATGTTACCTCTTAACACCTCTCATTTTTTAAATTCATTCATTCAACCTGATAAAATTTCGTCTGATTTAAAAAAAAATATTACAGAGAAAAGCGTTGAGGTTAATTGCTTCTTATAAAAGTAATATTATTATTCACTTTCGAAATAACCCTAATATTTTTGCGCAAAATAAATTTGCCGAAACATCTTAAAATATCTGAAGCAATTAATTTTTTGATTTCCTGTTGCGTAGTGATAAAGATGATAATATTGATCATTCCTTCGTTAAGGCTAAATAAATATAAAAATGTTAAAGGTGAATCTGGATGAAAAACAAAGTAGATATCTGGTATTGTGAACATAACAAGCTGATTCATTGCTATCATGCAAATTGTCAAAGTTATACGTCGATTTTTAGCATCAAATCCAATTTGTTTTTTATTTTTGCTGAATATCTATAAAAAATATCACAAATTTCCAAAGTGGTTTCTCGTTTAAATTCTCAAAACTGCATTATTTTTAAGACTATAAGTAAGAATATCTAAAATAGCTAAAAGTGCACATTATTTTGGCTGAATTTTTGCGGATAATGCAACAAGATCACATTATTTTTAAATTAGAGGTTGACCTTTCTCGGAGACAGAGAACTTTAGTGCTCGAGATGTTAATCCGATCAGCAGCCACTCGGATATCCAACTAATTTGGGAGAGTTCTCTTTACTGTTTTAATGGAGTATTTATTGCATAAAAAAATTTAGGTGAAAAACCTGTCGCATTTTTCGCATGATTGGCACATACAAGAAGATGGCAAATATGCTTGTGGTTATCCTCATTAAACGCAATATCTGATGCATAGGATATGTGACTACTTCATAAAAACGACAAAGTTTTGTCACCTGAAAATTCCTCTATTTTAAGTAAAACTTCGTTTAAAGCAACAAATCTTAAAAAATCATTTTATAGAATATTTTCCAATAACTGAAGGGTGACGATAGGTACGGATATTCATTACAGTAGTGAAGGCTTATTTTTGCGAATTTCGTTGAATTTTGATTATAATGGCACTTTTCATTTTAAAAGAGGGAATAAAATAGTAAATTTCGAATATTTGAAAAGAAGGAACTAACATCACAATTCTCCCTTTGTTGGTAATCAGTTAAAAGGCTCCCTAAAATATAACCAGTTGTGCATGCGAGACATGGCAAATATAAGATTAATAGACAGATTGAATTTGAAGTCTTATATCTGAAAATAAGAGATGTGATGATGTGACAGCAGCAGAACCTTTAGCTCTTCAAATCTCTTCAAATAAAGACGAAACAAGGAAACAATGCAGTAAATATCGTTTCGCCATTTTTTATCAGTTTTGATGCAAAATTTGAGGTTTGAAATTTATCTTATATATGAATCGAAAATATTAAAGATTTGCTCATTTTTTTTTCTATATTTTTCCATAGGTAAAATATTTTACGTTTTAAAAAAAAAGTCCCAAAAATATTGTTTCATATTATTATTGAGGGATTTCTAATTGTCAGTGGATAAAGTATTCTTTTGGAAAAGAATTTCCGAATGGCTTAGTATTTATCCCAGCACTGACATTAGCTATCAATAACCATTTTTTAAAAAAGAGAAAAAAAAGCTTTAGCGAAGGATTTCATTCGCAATTAGTGGCCTATGAAAAAAATTTTTTTACGATGAAATAGGACATTGCACTTTGCACTTTTTCCTTTTTCCTTCCCTTTTATTCTTTTGTTCCTATCTTCTTTATATTCATTCCTCACTGATATGGTACCACGAATTTTTGATCGTACACACTTTTCTATTTTGCATTTTCTTAAAATGATGTTCTTTATATTTCCTGTCAATTGGCTGTTTACTTCATAATTAAGTCTAAAATTGCGATATTGGGGATAGAATGGTTCAGTGGGTTGTTGCTCAATCGCCGATGCTGAGGTTCGATTCTCCGCAGGAGTAAAACTGCACAAAAAATCTGGGTGCTGGCGACTCACCTATATTTCTATCGCCAAGGGACTCTGGCATATTGCTCAATTGTGACAAGCCAGTAGAGCGAGTTTAACCAATAATGGAGAGGACTCTTAAAAAAAAAAATTTCCTATCCAAAATTGGCTTTAGTAATTAAGTTGAAAATTGCGATATTTGTGCGTTTGTTTTTTTTGTACCTTAAGCATTCAATTTATTTAAGTCTTAAATCAAAAAGTTTTGGAAAAACAGGTGACATTGCAATAAAAATATTTCTCGTAACCGTCGTTCGAAGAAGGACCGTAATGTAATCGATGCTACATTTTACCAATGTAGAAGGAAAGTATGAACTGGGAATAGAAATTTTAAAAAAGCAACTTGATGGGACGAAATATTGCAAAGGTTCGATCCATGGCAACAGCTAGCACTAGCAGTCCAGAAAGTGGGAAAACTCCGACCATTAACCAACCATGTATGTTCATGAGGCAATCGAATCGAGAAGTTAGTTTATCAGCTGTAAAAATAAAAGTGCTAATTGAAGTTGTTAAATAGCATTTGAATCAATTTTCAATAACCTTAATTAATAGTTCGAAATGCAGAATAGAGATTTAAATAATACAAAGTAATACCTTCATTACTGCGAATGATAATTATGCGATAAGTGCCGATGGATATGTAGGTCAATCCGAACAAAATATCGAAGGCGAAACAACTTATAAATGACTTATATTGTTGCCGATTGAGTTTTTTTATAATCACGTTGAGAAGCATGTACGAATTAAAAATTGTCAAAATGGAACCTTCGAAAATGAATAGAATATATGTCAACATTTCGTATACCAATGCACTATTTTCGATTTTTCCTACAATTTCTAATCATAAGAATTAACACAATTTATATGGAAGTTGTAGTTGTCTTTTCCGAGCATTTTTCAAAATTATTACAGGGACAAGGATTTGAACGCTAGCAGATTTCCTAAAACTGGATGAAATTTTAGTTTCTATGGCAATCCTCAGGCAGAAGAGATGCTTAAATTCATTATAAATTCGAGAAGAGAAAGTACTTATAATTACGCTCATTATCTCTACTCATTGTCTTGAGCGAATTTCGCACCAGATAAAATTTTTCTTATTGCTCAGTCAAGGTTTTGCGCTACTCTATTTAAAATACGACTGGAGAAACTGGAAAAGGTTGGTTGCATAATTACGTTAATAAATATCCAATTTATTTTTATTATTGCCTATTTTAATTAAACGTTTTTTCAGCCATGTTTGGATGAAAACTATAGCAATGAGTGGACCTTGCATAAGCGATTCATGCCATAGATTACCACTTCAAAAAATGCTTTAGCTCATACTCCTTAATATAGCATTATCATAACATTATTAAAGTCAAATCCGATTGGCGCTGTGGACCCATATTCTCCAAAACTCCAAATGATTCTCTGTATTAGCCCAATTATTGGCCAGCCTAATCGGAAGAGTTGAACAGGAAAAGAGGCATTTCGAGGCGGTTTTATCTTCCTTTTAATGTTCTTTTTATTTTTTATCCACTTTCAAATATTCTGAGCTGAAATGGTTCTCAAGTTTTCAGGTTATATAAAAGTTCGTTGATGGGAGTTAAGAATTTGGCTTGCTTGCATGAAATTACATAAAATTTACATAGCCTTTCTAAATTATGTTAGTTTATGGTTTTATACGAAAATGAATATTTGAAACTTGAAATTAATTATTAAATCTATCTTCTAATCACTTTCATCATTGCTGGTTTGGCATACTTCGCTGGAGACTAGGCTAAGATGCTTCCAAGTTTTTCGTTTCATTGCTGATGCCAAATAAAGGAATATTTTTTCCATCGTATAAGCCCGTATATAGTTGGGCCGCCTATGTGTTTAAAACAACTTTTCATCGTATCAATCGAGATTTTAATTGATATTCCTCACTTTTGATGGCATTCATCGTAGAGGTTAGCAGTGATTAGTTTCTGTTTGGACAAAGAACATGGCTAAGCCGAGGCAGACGCCGATAATATTCCTCAGGCTGCAGATAATATCGAACGATAGTGAACGTAATAATATGGGAATCAATCCTCTTAGTAGATATAAAGGATGCAATGCAAATGCACATAGCTTCTGGTATCTTCTATTCTCATTGACCATCGTATAGTAATATTTCGCTATATAAAAGGTAATATTGTGTGTACTGCAGCCAGACAGATTGAGGCTGGTTTCATGATTCCAAATGGATTTCAGGTGAAAAAAGGCAAGCACTTCTAACTATCCAAGCTGGAAATTTTTTTTTTTCGCTTGGCCAGTAAGTATCAGAATGGATCCGACATTTAAAACCTCCTTGAATTGTTGATAAGTTTATTTTAAATGTGATCTTATCAAAGTTTTGGCATAAGCAAAATGCTTTAATAAGCCCGATTTCTTTCCTAGAACATCGTCTTGACTTGTCAGAGTGCCTGGTCGATCGAATTGAAAATAAGGGCAAAATCAAGAAAACACGTAACATAACGTTAAATTACCGATACTTGTATGTTCCAGTATTCTTCTCAGCCTAAATATTTCTTCACCATCTCTGGTTTAAATCAATTTTATTAAAATGTTTCATTTTCATGCATTGCTATGAGTTCAGTACAAGGGAAGCATTTTCTTAGAAATATCTAGCAATTTGGATTATCAGTTTGGATTTCATTATCATATCTCATTATCATATTTCATATTATCATATTTCTCGAAAAATGGCAGAACTGCTTTGTTCAATTATATGGTGTTATTTTGTTTCTTCTCCCATACCAGCGAATGCCTTTGCAAGTATATTATGAAGGACGCTGGTCAGTATTTAGGGAATTCATTTCGCAGATCTTCTTCGGATCTTAAGCTTGTCATTTATAAAGAATCATTTCATGCTGAGTTGGTGCTTTTCAATTGATGATTATCGCTTACTGGAGTTATCGCCTCCACATTTGAGGCAAAATCGTTCCAGTATCGCTTTTTAACCCATTTCGCTGCAACTGTTGCTGGTCTGCGGAGCATCTCGATCTCGATCTCGAGATACAATTTGTCTTTTTCAGAGTCGTGTGTTCTAGAGCGAATTTATTCGGTACCAGGAAGCATGGCTTCAACTGAAATCAATCATCGGGAGACCAAGGGATGCTGCTAATATTCTTCATATGTGGCAGCACCTCAACTTGAAATGTGGCAACTATCTCTATATCTTTTAACTTGAAAAAGTCAAAAGATTTTGAAGGAAGTGCGTTTGGAGCGCCGTCAGTTTCATTCGCATTCGCAACAATAAAGCGAATGATCTTGAATGCTTAGAAACGAAAAAATTGCGAAATTATGGTATACGTATAATAAAATTAGTTCAACAATCGGAATAACTAGTCAATAAAATAATAAATCTACAATTTTCCAAAAAATATTTTTACATAAAATATTTTAAGTGGAGAAAATAGGTAAACTACATTGCTGGAAAGCGTATTCTCGAAATTTACTTAACAGCGTAAATGGAAAAGTCACAGGTCGTCAATTTATTTCTGCGCATGGGTTTTAATAATTTCGAACCACTGGATTGTTAAATAATCTAATTATGCATAATGCAAAAAGCAACGATTCCTATGATGTATGAGCGGTATTTATTTTGGCCCAACACAGGCCTATGCAACTCGTTAAATAAGACGGCAATAAAAATAATGGTGAGTAGCAACTGAGTTTAAAAAACAATAGAAGTTTGTCGTCAGAAAAGACAAAATATGACGATGGCGATAATTGTGATAATCTTAATGATAATTGTTGAAGTACCAAAATCAATGCGATACATGCATGGTAGATATCTAAAATCTCTTTTAGATTTTTATTAAAAGGGGAATGAGGAAAGTAAAAAACTTTTGCGGTCATAAGTTTTACAAGCGTATTTCAATATAACATTTAACTCCAATTCAAATGTAGTTTACATTTCTAAACTTGAACTTTCTGAAATTTGAGAACTGTTAAAATAAAAATCATTGAGAATAGCTGAATATATAGTAATTTAGAAATAAGCTCCAAGAAATCATTGATCGTTGAAAGGTAAGAGACTGGATTCCGCAACTGACAGGAATAAAATTTCCATTAAAAATCCGAGTGACGCTGACGACCAAATTTCGAACTATTCGAAAATCCAAGGAAGCTAATTTAACCTTAAATGATGACAGCTAGTCACTTATTGAAATAAGAAAAAATTAATTCAAAGTTCCTCACAAAATTTCAAAATTTAGGGAATGAAAATAGAGATAAGCTTGCATAAGAACTGAAAATTTTAACCCTGGACGATGTAAGAATTCTTGGAACAACTTTCAAATAGTAAGTAAATAAGCCAAATGACCGTCTAACAATCTTTGGATCTCCAGATAGAGCACATTACGTCAAACGCGTTTAATGTAATTAGCATCTATTTTTTTTATTTTATAATTATCGAGAAAATCGAAAACGATTACATTAAAATTCATAGGAAACTTCGTACGAACATCAAACATCTTGAATCAACATTTATTTCGATAACCCTTTTGGACGCATTTTGTTGTATAATTTTGTATATAATATAATATAATTATAATTTTGAAGAAGTATAATTTTTTTCTAATTTAGCTAATAATGAACAATTCTAATTTAATATTCTTAAAACTTTGATTTGAGTTCTCGGAATAATAATAATAAAATATTTTTAATCAAAATGCAATTTTGAAATTAACAAACTGTGCTTCTCTTCACTTATAATATAGAATAAATGGGCGTAGAAGATGAACGAATATAAACCTAGGATTTTATATTAGTATTACAGTATTATCAAACTATACTAATCTTAAACTTAATATTATCAGAGAATTAAAAGATTTCATAAAATTTTTTCTTGATTTATATAGTGTAACAGATTCTCTAATCACAAAAGCAGAACTTTGAAAAAAACTTAATTGTCGCTTTAAAGATTCTTATTCAAAGAAATTGAAAAAACGTTTACACGGATCGGTAATTCATAGTTTTAATCATAAAATTTTAAAAAATTTGTAAAGTTCTCTCATTAACTCCTTAGAAAATAAGAAAGCATTATTAATTCTTTTCAAACCTTTTATTATTCAATATTTAATAACTAAAAAAATAAAGGTTTATCAAAGGCTTTTGACTTAATAAATGATTTGAAAAAGTCTTTACTTTAATGCATCATGTATTTAATTAATGAAATCAAATTAAATTTAAATTTATGAATAAAAAAAATTTAAGAGTAAAAACATAAAAACAAATTTTTGGACAACTTAATAAATTTTAGAATTAAATTTTGAAAAAAAGCTTAAAAACTTTAGAAAGTGGATAATTGATTTAATTTTATTTAATTTTATTTTCGATGATATTTAATCTGATTGTTCAACAAAACATGGAATGAGTCTCTACCTGGAGCGAACTGAGTTTTAGTATTGTCGAATCGGTTAAAATAAATTAGAAGTTATGATATGGACGATTATTAATAATACTTTGGAGACTGGATGGCTCAGTGGGTTGTTGCTCAATTCGGAGAGCCATTCCACGCAAGAGTAAACCTGTCCAAAAATCCGGGTGATGCTGACGACTTACCTATACCTTTCTTTCGCCAAGCGACTCTCTGGCATATTTGTCCATTGCAACAAGCCAGCGGAGCGAATTTAATCAGTAATGGTGAGGATTCTTTAAAAAAAAATTATTAATGAAAGCTCGATATCTCATAATATCTCATAATCTCATAATGTAAGAAGATTTACAAAGCTAGCGTGAAATTCAATAGAAGACAAGAATTCATACCATCACCTTTTTAGAAATTTAGAAATTAAATGAACATTAATTTTTTAGCCAAAATCTGAAAAATTTTAATAAAAATTGTAAATTTATATGATTGCAGCGAATAATGCTTGTCGACATTAGAGAAGTTTATATATTATTCCAAATATGTCCCTTATAACAAGCTAATGATGTAGTTTTTATCGCTAACAGTAATGAGGATGGAGAACGATGGCAGCGAAACATGACTTTCAAATCAATGTGAACTAGGTCAAACTCTTTCTGTCTTGTACCAGATGCTGATAACATCGCATTCAAATAATAAATTCACCAACGCTTCAAGAAGTGTTAGACTCGGATTCACTCTGGTGCCTAGTGGCCAGGATGAAATTTGAAAGGTGAAATTCCAGCTTCAGCTAAAAATATTTTTTTTCGTCTGATTTCGACTCTGGAATTTGCGGGAAATCGACCTCAAAACGAAAATCTCATATGTAACATGCGCAATCCTAGTAAGCACTATGGCCAGTAAGAGTGTGATGTCATGAAGTTATCTATGCTTTACCTTTCTTGCCTAAGCTATTTTCTATATACCAGCTAACCTATTCTCTCATAATTATATTCATCTATTTCGCATTACTAATACCACTATGAAACATTTCCCCTCGTTGATTAGGCCATATTTTTCGTGCCCCCTTCATAGAAACAGGCACATCTCGATATCTATTATGGAAAATATCAAATGGAGAAGGATTAGGTACGGTTACACCGGCGCTGCTGCTCTACTCACAACAGGAATAAGCC